TCCATATTAGATTTGTTTATTTGATATAAAGCGCACAGTGATACAGTATTATTTACTTGATTACGTTTCGAGCATAAATTATTGCTCATAATCATATCAATGTAATCACACTTCTTTCGACATCTGATTTTATAGTCCTGTCACCTGATCTCTCTTTGTTTTTTTGTTTTTTGATTGGTAGTAAAGTTTTCCATATCTCTGGTATAGGTGTTGCGTCATTCCTATTACATGTGTTGGGTGTGGATTCGATGAACAAAGATTCAGTAATTAATCTCTCTCTCCACCTAGCTATATTAGACTTAAGTACAGTGGTTTTGTCCCATCCTATTGTGTGGTTGTGTGTTAATGAATGTAATGCAATGGCTGAGTGTTTTTCTAGGTTATTGATCTTATTGGGGTCTGTCGTTCTATGTTTAGCTAAATTCCTATGTTCTGTTAATCTAACTGACCCCGACCGGCTAGTTTGACCTATGTATTTGACTTCACAGTCATTACATGGAATTTGGTAGATTATATTATTTTGCTTAATTGGTTCTATCGGATCTTTTAGCCGACACAGCTTACCTCTAAGTGAGTTTGTTGGTTTAAATGCCACCCTAATTCCAACCTTGTTGAGAATCCTACGTATGGTTTCTGATGTTCCTTCCTTGTATGGTATCACAATAGAGGTGCTGATTTCCTTTCTACTTATGTTGTCACTATTATTTGTATTTGTATTAGTGTTATTATTTTGCTTCTTATGCGTCCGTGTGAATTTCTTAATAAAATGATGGGGATAATTATTAGTTATTAACGCTTCTTTTATGTGTTTCAATTCCTTATTTAAGTCCTTACAATGACTAGTGAGTTTCTCAGCTCTGTTATTTAGACATTTGACTAAACCCGCTTTAACTGACACTGGATGAGATGACTTGAAGTCTAGATACCTGTTAGAATGTGTTGGTTTTCTGTACTTAAGTCTAATATAGCTAGGTGGAGAGAGAGATTAATTACTGAATCTTTGTTCATCGAATCCACACCCAACACATGTAATAGGAATGACGCAACACCTATACCAGAGATATGGAAAACTTTACTACCAATCAAAAAACAAAAAAACAAAGAGAGATCAGGTGACAGGACTATAAAATCAGATGTCGAAAGAAGTGTGATTACATTGATATGATTATGAGCAATAATTTATGCTCGAAACATAATCAAGTAAATAATACTGTATCACTGTGCGCTTTATATCAAATGAACAAATCTAATATGGAACTACATTCTACCACAGTGCCCAAGTTTTTCACTTATATTAGTGTAAAATTACCTTTGCTAAGATTCTTCCAAGAAAGAAGTAGTGATCCAAATAATTTGGTGTTATTGCAGCTGCTTGAGGATTTGGATACACTGTTTTGTCAGAAGCATAAATGAAAAATCCTCTATTCGGATCGAAACCAGTACGAATTATTTCTGTGAGAAACTCTCTAGATAATCCACCACAATCAATACCGAGTTCAGCTAAACCAACTTGATTGAGAAATTGCACTTTCAAACGTGGAAGCAAATTAGGTTCTGAAATAGAGTATGGAAAGTGGTTACAAGTAAGTAGATTTACACAAAGAGGTAGACACCACTTGAATAGAATAAGGCAAAGAACACCAGCCAACTAATAATAACTGAAGTTGAAAAGATGAGATTTAAATTGCATTAGGATTCGAATTACTGACTTTCAGATTGCTGACCTAATGGTCAACTAATTGACCTAGGAGACTCAGCTTTTAAATAGCTATGAATTTCATTTCGGTCACCGACAAATTTTGTCAAACCTTTATGAGTGTTGTTGTATATCATTACACTAGCAGCCTCTATCTGAGTATTTTTGACTCAATCTGAATAAAACTGACTAGAAAAGAAAGATAGACTGGCTGTAGCGATGACACTAAGTGTTAATATAAATGATGAGAAGATAGTATGAAATCAGTAAGCTGTCAAAAAAACTATTGAAAAACAAGGGTTACATAGTGTAAAGGTGATCAGATTGCAACCTTGAACAAAAGTATCCTTTACATAAAAGAGAGATGTATTAAAATCAACAAACCAAGCATAGAATAAAGTGATTCAAAACACATCGTTCAACACAAAACCAAGTAAAAGAAATGCGTCCGTTTAGGTTACAACACTCTATAACAGCACACGGAGACAGAGAAAACAGCGAATTAAATATTTGTCTGTCAGATTCATCTGAATAAACTGACTCAAGAAGACTGCCTGGTTTTCTCGTAACAGTAATCAATCATTCTATTCTTAAAAATAATTAATACATGAATTTGTACGCTCACATTGAACGTTTCAGTGTACCGTGCTAACACTGACCCATCTAACGAAACAGAAGTCCATAAGGAACTCCAAGTTCTGAAACGCCACAAGGCACCTGGCTCAGACAACCTAGCCCCGGCTCTTTTTAAGGATGGAGGAATGATTCTAGTCACGGAATGGACTAGATTGTTTGAAAAGATATGTCAGACTGAGAATGTTCCGTCACTCTAGAATGATGCTATCATTGCGTCCATCTTTAAGAAGGGTTTACGTAATGTATGTGACAATCGTGTCGAAAACATTGGCTACTACCACACTTCGCAGATTTTGCAAAACATGTGAGAAAATGATTCGTGAGGAGAAGGTCGGGTTTCGTTCAGATCGTGGATGCATTGATCATGAGTTTACTCTCCACTAAATGCTTGAATGCCGCCATACATATTGTAGACCAACAATCGCTGCGATTATGAAATTGTTCGTTAGAAAGAGGGTGTCTCTGAGAAATTTATTAACATCATGAAAGCCTTAAATAAAAGCACCTCAAGTAAAGTGAGGGTATACCACCATCTAAATCCACTATTCCAAACCAACAGCAGAGTTAGTCAGGGTTGCCTGATTTCTCCATTCCTCTTCAACTTTGTAATCGATGGCATTTTTGAGGCAGCTCTGAAGGTGTGTGAAGGTGGTATAGATTTACTACATGGAGAACGGCTATTCGGCCTTGAATATACGGACGATATCGTCTTACTGTGTGATAACACAAAAGTTTCTCAATCACAGTTAGTCATTTGATGAATAGTGTCCGTAGGTATGGTATATGCTTGGCATCACTGAAGTGCAAAGTACTTTTGCAAGATTGGCAGGAGCCTGTGTCTGGGCTCTTCCTCGGTGGTGAGTGACCGCATATCAAAAGCCAGAGTGGGATACACCAATCTAGGTCATCTTTAGCGCCGTCATGACGTTAGTCTGACCGTAAAAGGTCGGGTTTACGACGCTTCGGTGCGAGCAGTTCCGCTTGCGAAACCAGGTCTCTTCGAGCTGAAGATTTGTGACGACTCCGTGTGTTCGATCATCGCTGTCTTCGTAGGATCGCTTGTATTCAGTGGTAACAGCGTGTAAGTAATTCTGAGGCACAACAGCGTGTGTTTTGGCACGATCGAGATCGTTATTCAATAAATAAAGTCATCTGAAAACACCGTCTTCGGTGACTTGGATCTATGTGACGCATGTCATCTCAACGGCTTCTATACTGTCCATTTTTTGCTAACCTTGGGACAAGATGGAAGAAGTAGAAGACTGCCCAGCGTATAAAGTAGTGCCGTGGCATGAAGAAGTTGTATCGCGTTAGCATCTCCTGGTGCATTAAGAATCTCTGGGTGAGGTCTGAGAAATCACGCAACTCAGTGGCTTGAGATGTTATCAAATATGTTCAGAATAGAAACCAGTGGCGGTTATGCTATAGCTTCCTTTTATCTTCTACTGTTGAAAAGTAATGAATGTTCTGTTTTGAATGTATCTTACTGCGCTGACCTTCTCATCAATCTATTCTTGTTTTTCTTCTTATCTACTTCCTTTCACTTAGTCTTCGAAACATTGTTATGCTATTTTGTGTGGAGCATTTATTGGTGCCCTTGTTGTACCATGTTTGTGTTCTAGTAATGGTTATAACAATTAATGATACTAATCGGTTGGCTGAACTAGTCAGAGGGAGGGATTCGAACTTGAGACACACTGGTTGCTAATTTTATTTTAAACAATGATTTTATGAATGGCATAAATTCATAGTGAACTTTTATTTTATATTGTGCAGCGAAAACGCACTTTGAGAGTATACTGCTTGTCTGTACTCAAAATAAAACATGATGGAAAGGCTATTTAATGGCGTTCACATTCGTCTTTTGGTTAGAGGGGTCTCAGTTCAAAATCCACTCTGTCTACTTCAGCCTGGGAAACCATGTTACATTTCATAAGCCCTAAATACAACACTGCAGAAATTCATGCCGAATTGTTCAGGTGAATGAAGTAAAACAGAAAACAATTTAAACAGAGTACAATTCAATGATTCTATAATCATAATACACTACATGGCATAATAATTATTTAAAAAAACCAACAAAAGAATACAGGAAAATAATTTGGCTTGCAAATCTTACCACTACGTTTCGACAACTTTTCAAATGCATCTTCATATAAATGCGTCCGACGAACAACAATAGAAACTTCTGATTCATCAAGTAAATTAGTCGCTCGGTTTATTGAAATCTGACTATCATTGACAAGGATTCGAAATAACTTAATTAAGAAAAGGGGAGAGAGTAGAAGACGGAAAGTTACTCATAAAAATGGTGATCAAAATAGAACAGTGAATTATACGTGAAATTCGGAGTTGATATGGGCGGTTTGTTGACTAATCACTGCTGACGTTAATTTGAAAAATAGTCGAACTCAGGGGATTTCTTGACGAGATATATAACTATTTAAAATAAAAATGAGCATCTAGATAGCTTTGTTGCCATGGTCTACATGCGTGTGCTTGCGTTTATAATCATGTAACTGCAAAAAGTGTCGACATTCTATTGGCTAAAGGATAGTCAACTATCATGAGTACTATAACATTTGTAAAATCTATCCGAGAGGAAATGAGGGCCCTTTTGAATTATTTATTGTTTAATATTTCTACACAGTCAAGTCAATATAGTAGATCTATCAAGATGGATCGAAAAAAACGGGAAAATATCAATTTTTCAAATTAGTAGCAACTTTTCAAGGTGCTAGGGAATTCTTACAAGTTGATTACCTGTAGGTAACTCATGCAGCTCTTCCTAGTGTCCTTAGTGCCTAGGGCTGGTCGATGTTTATCGATCATGTTTTGAAATTTAGGGGCTAAGCGAAGTGATACAACACTGGGGTGCACTGTATTACAGTGTTAGATGGTGGGAATCACTATCGGTATGTTATCATGTAAGCCCGATGGTAAAGTCTACATTTAAAGTAACCCAAATATTGATGAGAATAGCCAAAATTACGCCCAAAACTATTCATTTCACACACAGTTTGAACGTAATAATGACGTCTAACGTCAGTCACGCTGTGTAGAGGTGACATGGCAGTAGTGAGAATAGGTCAACAGGAAGCCGTGGATCAAAGTTCCGTGCTTCCTGGAACTCATCAGTAAGGTGTATATGCATTTCTGGGAAATAATATTTACCCCGAATCACTCCTCAATAAAAAAATTTCGTATATGTGTTGAATTTTTGATTTGAGTTCATGAATTCACATGCACGTATCACCGGTCAGAGTGCGAAATTCACTGTTCAGTTTTTACTTTTATGAGTTAGTTGTAATTTTCTAATAGGTGGCTTGCTAGAACTAAACGATTAGTTCTTGTGTAATTGCTTATTGTTCAATTTCGTATTATATCGCCTTAGTCTAGATAGGATGAGGTTAGATGACGACGAAGCGAAAAAAACTTTCAGATTATGTCTAGTTTATTAGAAAAAGCAATACAATTGAAATTCATTATATTGGTGATAATAAATTAGGTTCATTTACATGTATAAGATGTCATAGTTTAGAGAGGAAATTCCTAATCCGTTTCAAATTACTGTTCTTATTGATAGAGTAGGGGTTGGAATTGCTTTCGAAATCCCCTTTGCCTAATTCTGTTCTAATAAAAGATTTTGAGTCACATAATGAAACTATTGGTTGCGTTGATCTTATTTAGTGAGGGGAATAGGTGAACTTGAGGAGTGATGACAGTATGCGAACGAGTGGTTTATGAATACCAGCCCGGAACTCTGCCAACTGAATTAAGACACCCTAATAAGACCTTATCTACACCTAAATAATCATGGGATTCACTTAACTTCCATGCTATTGAACAATACTAAACCGTAAATTCATCATTATCATCACGAAAGCTGTTCAACCAGATATTCTAGTCCTAATTGGAATGAAACTAAGTTAGGGATAGGGAGTAAATGATCTTTTATCATAGTTTAGTCTACCATCCACCGCAAATGAGCTATTTGCTTTAACCTACAAATCATCATACCCATAAATTAGGATCAGTCTGCTAAACTAAGATTACAGCACGTATCCTCACCAAAAACATCTTCGTTTGTTACTGATGAAACCTTCTTAAATTAATGGTATAAATTCACTTTCTGTATATGTTTGTGAAGTATACAGCATTACTACTATTTTGACTACTTTCCGTTTGCAGTACACCTGAATTATTCGTTGTTATAAAGTTGGTGAATTTACAATTCGTCCTGGTCATCAATCTATCACGTAAGAATGGTGGTTAAAAGGAGAATCATCTGCTTTCTTTTAATAGTTCAAACAGTAGAACAACTTCACGAAGAAAATAATAATTAGAAAGTCCAACTATTCAAAAGGATTCCTGAAATGAATTGATGGGTGATGAAAGATACCTAAGAATATAGTCACTTCAGTAATCTGAGTACAGTAGAGAGTTAATACTCTATTGTAACTCTGGTAGTCGTGTTTTTTCGTGAATATGAAGATGATGGATAGAAATGTAGGCCAGCCTAACCGGTCACAAATGATTCAGCTACGAAGCATGACTACGAATTCAGTTTTAAATTCACTATAATAAACCAGCAATACCCCGTAAACAGGAAATGCAGTTGTAAGCATTTCAGTACATTAGTCACCTAAAAACATGTTTTCTGCCAACTTTATTTGTCAAACAGAGTTTATTGGGGAAAAAAGAGATTGATCAACGCATGAATCATCTGTTCCACGCATTTTATTCCATCCAAAAGTATTAAGATACAAAAAATCCCAGCTATTGTGATTGCTAATGAAGACGACAGAGTCGTAAGTGTTTGTCTACCACTGTTGGACAGTTGGCACTTACTTTCAGTGCTTAAGTTTAAGAAACACACACGATCTCATATACTTTTTTCACCCAATCTATGATATTTCAAAACACTACAACTTAAATCAACTAATTATTGTGACAACTACTTTACAGTTTGAAAAATAACAACACAGAGTGCTTTACTTTTACATCACTGAGAACTTATTGATCATATAGTGAACTAGATTGAAACTAGGTTATAGCAATATGATTCAGAATTGAAGAGTTGAACAGCGAACTTGATTTTTTGTGCTGATTTCAGCTACCAAATACACCTATAGAAAAGTTAGCTTTTTTCATATTTTGACTGATATATGATGAAATGAGAGTGGATTTGCAGTTTTTCAGACAACGTATACAGTAATAGACCATTAAAGGATAAATTTACGAAACCAAATTAGAATTTTCATAGGGTTTTACAGAATTCGCAATATGATTTTAGTAATGAAGGTATTTCCCGACATGGTTATCATCTAGTGATTGATTTATGTACATAATTAAGTCTTACAGAAAGTCAGTTGTGTCTTGCATACCTTATGTTTGAAGTCACTGATTTCAGTGATGCAAACTCGAACTTATGAGGTGACATGAGTTTTTTCAAGGTTATAAGTGTCCTCTGTAGATAAGTACCAATAAGCATGAGACTTCGGTTACATAAGACTTTTAACATTTATACATAAATAAGATTAGGAATAACAAGTAATGTCAATAATAACAATCAAATTTACTTTAACGCGTTTTTCAAATGGAATAATAAATGGAAGTTCTTTAAACAGTAACAATAGCCGCAGTTCACGATTGCTCGAGGTAAATGTACGAAGTCCATCTGAAACGATAAAGAAGAAAATAATTCAGTTGTTTAATTCTTTTCCTTCTAAAAAAATATGATAGTCTATAGAGAAAAAAATTTAATCAAAAGAAATTCAGAAATTAAAATAGTCCTTCACATGACTCTTGATTCAAGCTATGCGCGTTCTATAGACCACTATCCCCTGAAAGAAGGATGAACTGAAGGTTATTATCAGTTCCACTCATCCAAAAGTTGATGTTTTGTACTCTTTATGCTAATTGTTTATTTGGTTACTGTAATTCTTTAATAAGAACTTAAAACACTATTACTACTTATTAATTTACTTGTAATTCTCCGTTGTTTTTATTGGATTGAATTGTTCGACCTCTGTTGGCATATGGACTACTATGCGAATGCTTCGATATTGCCTGGATGTTAATTATGGTAATTTGGTTGGTTGTGCCTAGCGCGTCCTGGAACTCATCGCTTTAGGTAGGAATATTACAGTAAATAATATTGGTAATTAAAAAAATAAACTGTTTAACGCATAAACTCCTCTTAGAAAGAGGAGTTTATGCGTTAAACAACTCGGACCAACAGCTAGACTTCATGGACTGGACTCACATCTCAGTCTGGCGTCACTTAGCTTTTCTCAAACATTCTATTGCTTCAACTTACATTGAATAACGATATAGGCAGTGGTTTGGTATCACCAAAACATACCCAAGTCATCTAGGTCAATCAACGTGTACAGTCTCATGGACTGAATTACGTTTCTTGTCTAGTACTAGACGACTAAACTCAACATTAGTTACATAGTGAATCCAATAAACACGGGCAATACTACAAAGATAACTGTGGTCAAAAAGCTATACTCTTTTCATATCTTCTACTTTTAAGGGTCACATCTAATTAGAACTCGTCAGTCGGTACTCCCACTGATACCAAAACAGCACATATAACTGACCTTATTTATGTTTATACACTGAGCAAGTGGAAAAACTGAAAATTAAAAAGCAAATCAGCAGCCATGTACACGTTTGTGCATTGGACAATGAGTCACACCTATTACACAAGGGTTAATGCTACTACCTGGCTGCCTAAACACATAATAAGTACAGCAGAGTTTGAACCTATGACTGGATAAGACCATTTCTAATTATATTGAAATATGCAACAGTTTTACTTACACCGAACACGATCAGGATTAAGTATACTATAATAGCCAAAAGGTGCATCGGCTAACCCCGTTATAAGACTTCGATCACGTTCCTTTTCAAGCCATGATTGAAGTGATGCAGGGTTCATTAAATCAACCAGATTGTCCTTTAGCCAAAATGTTTCACTAGTACTTGGTTTATCAGTGGGTGAAAGTAGGTGAGATGAATGTACAAGATTATCTGGTGTTTCTGAATATGTAAGGAGGGGGATTGAGGAACCAGGTGTATTTGTAGAATTCGCACACATACAATGTACAATCTGTTGACGTCTACATCGACGACTCCAATCGAAAATTTGGAATACTAATCGCTGAACTTTATGAAATAGGCTACTCCAACAGTAGAGCAATATGCGAAGCTCTGCAATGGACTAGGAACGAAATACATGTAAGGAAACATTGATTACACAACAATATTAACTAAAGTAGGATAAATACTAGACATTGTAAGTTGGCTTACTTTGAAAAACTAACCAAGTGTGAAGTTTTCTTTGTACTGAGTTGTCGGAGAGGCTAGGTTGAGTTCAGACTACTGACACCACTCTTTTATGAAGATTAAAGTAAGTAGAAATTAATAAGCTAATGACTGATACCCACTACTGGAAAGCTTGAGTAGGTACAAACCATTCAAGTTCATCTGTAGATTTCGCCGGGCAGCCAGATAACAATGATCGGATTGATCATCATCCTATCTAATGATTGATATTTAAACTAGTTGGTCACCAGTGAGTAACACTAATTTCGTAGTGCTCAGCTTTGATTAAAGTTTCCCGATCAAGCTATGTGACGTGACATTGAGGTGCACTGTATCTCAATGTTAAATGATGGAAGCCAATCAGTAGAAAACCTTGGATCTAGGTTTCACGTTTTTTGGCACTCATCAGCGAGGTGTATCTGCAAACATGACAATACTGATGTTCCGTCGGTAATTCAAACGCGTACCACTAGTCTCAGACGCCTAGCCATTGAGATCATCAGACACAGTCCCATATTAATATTTCTGTCGAGGACCATCGGACTTCAAAAACAAAATTTTACGACCCAGACAACTGACAAGTGTCTACTTTCCGTACACCTCTAGGAACATACAATTGTTTTCTTATCACGTAATAGTATCATGTAATCATCCATTATCCTCGAATCTTCACTTGACCAACAGTAGCCACCTTGATGATGTGGTCACGTTTTCGTCCCAAAAAGCCTCAACGAGCTATACCAGTGGGAACATTCGCTCCTTAAGTCCTCACTACATAATAAAAGTCTTTCGGATAGTGGTAGGACTAAAATTAGTTATCATGATAGTGTTAATAGCTTACACCATGATAGGAGTTTGTGAGCGAAGTTATACTGGTGGCTAGATGAGGCGTGACAGCAATTAGGTGCTTCCCGTAGATAACCAGCAATCTTCCTGTGAGAAGCCCAGTTTAAAAAAAGTTGGACTAAAAATAGCACCTTTCTCCCACCCTGTCATCTGCTGATTACGGCGGTATGTGTTTTTCAGTCATATTTAAGACAATATAACTTAAATTTCAAAATGCGACAATGATCTTGTGTTACAGACCTTTGACATATGCCGCGTGGGCTCAGGGGTCAAGCGAAAAGACAACTCTTTCTCCTTCAGATATCTTACAGAAACAACTCCCACGGTGTTTGTAACCAGGAAGTAAAAACAAAATCCACACTAACACCAGCATACAAAACCCGATAACTGAGAACATCGCACTTCCTTACTTTGTCTAATCCCTTGCCTTAACTTCCCGATACCAATGTGAAGCCCATTACAGCTTGTTTGACCCCCAATCCTGAACCCAGTTCTAAGGATTCATGGTAGCAAAACACTGTTCTCCTAAAGTCACACTGACAATTTCAAACTAAGGCTTTGAAAGTTTAAACTCTATGCCAAGTCGGACTACAGACCTTAATTGCTAATACTATGAAATCTCAAGTCATGGATATAAGGTGGATTTCTGAGACGATTATTGTACTTATCTACTTCACTTGAGCACAGATATAAAACGCTAGCTTGAACTTTTCCAACTCACATTATCTACGGCACATCGTGACATCCAACTACTTATCTGATTCCAGTATGCTGCACTCCTGTTCGCTGTTAGGTCACATACAGCTGTGAAACATAGACATTAAAGGTGGAAGATATGAAGATTCAGATGTTCGACCACTGTTGATTTCGAAGCATAAATCCTGTCGTGGTTACATTACCTCAGTAACGTAAAAGTAAAGCGTAGAGTTTTCGGTGAAAGAGATCATTCAATTAATGACAGTATTCGGTCTCAATGACAGGTAGTTACAGAATGGATATAGGAAATAAGCGACCAGGCTGAAATAGCATTCAGTTTATGAAGTCTGTAATTGTAGATGTGAATCTTGTAGAGAAATGTAGACTTTCAAGTCGAGATCCGCATGAAAATCAAAATATACGATTTGAGGCTTCAGGTGATATGGTTGACAATCGATGTTAGTGGCACAGTCGCATCCAAGCATTATCTGCATCGTATTCGTGATACCGAATTTCATTGCTGTCTCATTCCTCTTTGTTCTCCTCACTACTTTCTGCTTCTTCTCACTCCTTTTTTCGTTATTTTTACATCTTTCATCTTAGTGCCATTTCACCTCATGTAGTGATATGTAGCGTGATGAATTGAACTACTTCGCAATACTGCCTGGCCCTAAGTTAATGCTGATCAACTTTGTTTCACTTAATTAACGTGGAGAGTCTGCGAAACTCACCCTACAAGTGTCGGGAGATACAACTGCTTTGAAGTGTGACAAACTGAGATGAAAATCGTCTGTGCTAAGCATTTCGTTGATTTTATTTACTTGTCTATAGTCTTATCCAAAGTCACAACTTCAGCCTATATGAAAATTCAAGCGACTGAAAAACAAGAGACACAAGGAAATACAATGAATTACTATGCCCTTTCAAAAAACGTGGTCAGAACAAAATAACTCGAACATGACGAACAAATGTGCACACCATGCTATGATTCACATATAAATAGTGCTTATAACACTATTCTATCAGAAAGCTGCCTAAATCGTAGTACGTGGAAAATTACCTGAAGCAAAGAGACAGACAGGCATTACTTACTGAGTAACGCTAGAAATTGCCATAACTTATATCAGCACATCAAGCTGGGAAGCATTTAGATGAAAGATTTTTTTTAAAAATAAAGAAAGCAGTTCCAAGTAGCAAAAAGCAGTAAACGAGAGGAAGAAGGAACAAGAAAGTAGTGAATTCAGTATGATGATTGGATAAGGATAATGTTTGGATGCATCTGAACCACTAACATCGATTATAAGCTATGTTACCTCGAGTCTTCAAACGCTGGTTTCTCCTGGCACTCGGAATGCCTCATATTTCCCACTTTTAACGGCCATATCTAATAGCCACAGAAAGGACTGAATAGAAGTATACTCGTCCTTCAACAGGCGTTTGCATATCTCGCCAACTGGTACAACAGATGACGCAAGTTGGCAAATGACAAACGGGACTTCTGCATCACAGATGAGATTTTGTCAACAACTATCTACTTCAGACTGATGCTACTCCAAAAGTAAGTGAAGTGGTTGACACATTTGACCACTTCACTTTATATCTTTAAACTGGGAGTACTTACAGCAGACCAGTCCAAGAGCATCTCTTGCATTTGGCAGGTGCAAGACGCATGCTAAACATACTCAGATTTCCACTAAACGTGTTCAGAAGACCCTGTATTTCAACAGCATCTTCACATAACATATACCAGATGATCTCTAGGGAGTAAGTCAATCCCAATAAAGTTAGCTGCACCTAAGATTATTTCCATTTGTATATCTATAACGATGACACCGGGCATGCTTGATAGACAACACTTGACGTACACAACTCACTTGGAAATTCCCTATAGGTTTTAACATGTTCATGGGTGTTTAAGTACAGAGCCTCCAATAGCATGACGTACGTACCCCATTCGGTACAAGACAACGCTGTAAGAACCACTCGACTACCTGAGTTGAGTTCGAGGTCGGTAGGTGTGCCTGTGTTCAAGAACCTGGAGAAGTGTGAACAGCTTGTTCACCAGGCTGATCCTTCTAGGGCGTTATCACAGGAGGAGATATTGTCATTCTTCAGGACCAGAACAATCAGTGATTGAGTCACAGAACCATTCTGCTTCGCTATTCTTTCACTAACCACTGACCTGTTGGCTACAATTTTTCTAATGAGTACAACTAAGTGTCTACTTTTATTATCACCTCCACCTATTCTATCTCTTTAGCCTTCGCCACCCATCATTATTTGCGATTATTGTGTAAACTTTTGTCAATATATATCTGAAATGATGCTTTCACAGAAGATTGGCGATGGCACCAATCTTCTTCTGGAGGACTAATGCTATTCTGTTGTGGAAAAATGTATAGCCAGTTTCTCATTGAAAGCAGCCTTAACGTTGTCATTGTCAATCTGTAACCGCAATATTCCTGTTTGTAAAGTTCCCCAACGGCCGTTGAGATGCAGATATACACGCACTGGAAATAACGAGTCATCGCTAGACCAAACATGTGCTCCACAAGGATTCACAATGTTTCACCGACCCTCTGCAGAGATGACTGATAACAACATGGTCTACGTGTCCACCGCTGAGTTAAAGTCGGTGAACACCACGTCAGACAATGTCTCTCTTCTTGTCTCAAGCTCGTGCTGGCTACAAACAAATGGTTATCTAAGCAAAGTTGTACCAGACAATCGCCGTTATTTGTTCGTCTGCTTGGGATTTCGAAATTGTCACCAAAGTACCTTACCTCCTGACTGAACCTTTCCACATGTGCATTGAAACCACCTACAACAACAACCACTACGGAACGTTTAGATTTCAGTCGGTGGCTAAACAATTTCTGATACAACTCACTCTTCCTTGCATCGGAACTGTAGTCAGCGGGTGCTTAAGCAGAGATTATAAAGAAACAACGGCGATTTTTACTATTCTTTTTAGACTTCACTGTGCCGTTCAGTCGAACAACGCATAGACGACTGTCAACTGGGATCCAGTCGAGCAACTCACTTTCTGCCTTAGTATGTCATGCTATACCTACACCTGCAAGACAGAGAGAACTAGCCATCGAATGTCCAGAAACTCAAAACTCGCGGATTCATAATACTGACCTGTTGAGGTTAAGTGAATAATCGCACTTGGGTACGATATGCATGTTACACAAACACACCACACCTACATGTTCTAAGAGGTCATTTTCAGCTAGTAAAGCCTGTTGGCCAGTTTAAAAGAGGGTGTAGAAATTGAAGCTCCAAAATGAAGTTTACACCACTGTTTGGCTATATGATGTGACTGAAACAGATTGGCTATATGAACTACTTCAATTAACGACGATTTATTACCTACTAAAGAAGACATTTCACGAATGCATTACATAGAATGTATGAGTCGAATAACGACCCAAGGTAGAATAAATTCTGATGGTAGTTTTTTTGACATAATTGTCAGGTTTTTCTGTCTTTAACCGTCTGAGCTAAACTTACTGGTACGGTTACTTCTTAAGGTTTAATGTTAACAAAAGAGTCAGTTCAAAGGTGGAGGGATTAAAAGGGAATAATGTCTCATTTTAAAACACCGTAGTGAGAAGTTGCATTGTCGACTATATGACGAAACAACAGTATTAGGTAATTTACCAAGTAAGCAGCTGTTGCCTTCTCATAACAAGCTACGAAAAGCATCTTCGTACATAGAAAAAGTTTCAGAGTAGTAACTCACTCCAACGAAAACAAACGTCTGAGAAGGGCATACTTATGATCACCTTCCATTCCTCCCTAATGTACTTTTTCGGGTTTTTAGGTCACAAACGTGCACACCAATAAAATCGTCAAAGTAATACCTTTATCTCAGGTATCTGAAAAAAATTATATTTCTATAATGTGAGCAACTAAGAGGTATTAATAATCGTGACTTCTGCATCGGTTAATGTGATTCTTCTGACTCTATTCCTTTTCACACGGAAAGTGAAAGTTTCAGGGGAAAAAGTTTTCACCACTCTCCTCTTGTTAAATGGAAATTGACTAAAAAGTATTACTCAACACGTCATACATCATGACGACTTATAATACTTGTAGTAAGTTGAGATATTCAATCAGTTAAGTATAAAAGCTATAAATAATTGCAAAATTAAAGGTGGAGATAAGACATGGATAAGGAGGTGTATTCAAATATAATGCTATCAAAAAAAAATTAGCAATCAACTACAAACAATATAAAAAATATAAAAGAACGGAAAGCTTACCCATCCTGTACGATTTTGAATAAGTACATTAGCTTTCGATGAAGCTCCAAGAGCTGTCACCGCTTTGCGCTGCTTTATTCTGTACAGAATTGAACCACAATCAAGTTGTTCCACTGAATTTATAGAACATGAACTGTCTGTCTGTAAATCATACCAAATCTTTTTTGGTATGTGATCAGGATGAGCTAGATCAACCAAACCACGTACAAGATCGCTAAACACTGCACCAATATGCAATAATTCATCTGTACGAAATCCAGATCCTGAACTGTACATCCTACCATTTGTTAACTGATTATGATCGTGAAGAGTATGGTGAGTGGTAGATTGTGTATCTGAGGATTGAACATTACAGATGTTTACATCTGTTAAACACATTAGTCGATGATGAAGACAATCAGCAAATGTGAATATTAGTGGAAGATAACTGGTTAAATAAATAAAAGTAAATTTCGATGAAAAAATCAATCAGTAAAAGCGATGAGGTATAAGAAATAAACTAACGCTTAAATAAATGGTAACAGTTAAATCACAGTACTTGGTTCTCTCATTATATTTCGTAACGTAGTTAGCACTATTGTGTCATCAAACAAGGCATGAATTTACCACAGGAAAAAATAGCTTAATCCATAGACCTAGAAATAGTATTGGACTGTCACGCAGCTACTGTTCTACTCGTATATTGCTCTGTCTACACTAACGTGGTATGTTCCAAGCCCACGGTCAGACTGAACGAAAGCTAAGCGATCATTAACTAAACGAGTGAATACCACACAAGATTTTTAAGCCCTTTTTTATAAAGCACGCAACAATACAGGAGCATTTACTGGATGACGTTTCGAGGACAAATTATTACCAATCATTTACTGACTTATTAACTTTGATGGAATTATGACCAGTAAAAAAAAACTACCGTACCGATGTGTGCTATGTCAAATAAACAAACGAAATATTAAACTACGAGCGGATAGACTCAACGTGTGATCACTTCATGAAGTCTCTGACTTTCGATTCAAGCCATGTGCAGAAATCCAGACTTACCTGATGAAATTCTCGTGACAACAGAAATCGATGGTTGGAGACTCTATGCTTGAATTTTCATCTCAGTCATACATCATTGTACCGAATTTCGTTATATTCACCCCTCTTGATAACTTTCCCCTACTTTTGATTAATTTCTTCTTCATCAAAGTGCTTTGTACTTCGTGCCACGAATGATGTGTTTATTAACCTGGACTGGTACGCAGTAATCCCAAATCCGATGCTGAAATTGACTGATTGATTTGTATGTTGGTAGCTAAACATTTATTGGTGGACACTTGAAGACAATTGGCAGGAAGGAATAGATCCAAGTTTCCAGCTCTTTCATTTCTTTATTGTTACCGATTATTTTCTCTAATATTTAACAACTAACAACTTTCGATGGGAACTGTGTACAAAAATGAAGTGGTTCCACTTCAAGTATTAAAGATGAGGCACTCTATACTTCATGAGCTACTTAAAAGCTGCAACAACTTGAAGAGGTGTAGTTCAGTGACAGCTTCGTCATCGTCTAGGAAAATATAGTTGTAAATGACTTTTTCATACAGTCAACACACAACCACTGCATCAAGCGTTAAAACTCTACTTTGCATACTGCACCTTAACTTAAAGGTTTGTGGAGATTAACTACTTGTTTCAGGTTGGAATTCATCATAGACTGAAATCAGTCGGAGGAACACTGGAAATCTGGGAGCGCCGAACAGCTGTTTCGTCCCTTTGTGGGTCTCTTCAGCTGTGCGCACCCACGACCCCGCGACTCCAGGGTTCTGTGGCTAGCACGTTACCATTGAGTTAGCCACTGGGATAGAATCCAACGACCCACATTCCCTACTTCTGTCATCATAGACTGACATCAGTTGGAGGAACACTGAAAACCTGAGTGCATTCGACAGCTATTTCGTCCTAGTATGCAACTCCTCAGCAGTGCGCATTCACAAATCCCCAAGGGACCGAACCTATGACCTTCAGGTTCCACCGCCGCACTAGGAAGAAACAGCTGTCCAATGCTCCCAGGTTCCCAATGTTCCTCCAACTGATGCCAGCCCATGATGAATTCCAACCTGAAACCAATTAATAAATCTCCACAAACCTCCAGATTGAATTCATATAGCGCTCATTGGTAGCTAACTTCAAGAGGTGATTCCCGAAGTTCCAATTAGAAGTCGTGACCGGTGGAGCCAACCAATTCAAACATGAGGACAATCACTCAACGACGACATTGGATAGAAGTAGGAAATGTGGCCCATTGGATTACAACCCAGTGTCTAGCTCAGTGGTAACGTGCTGGCCACGGAACCCTTAAGGTCCTGGGTTCGATCCCTTGTGGGGTCATGGGTGCGCACTGCTGAGGAGTCCCATACAAGGATGAAACAGCTGTCCAGAGCTCCCAAGTTTCCACTATTCTTTCAACTGGTGTCAGTCCATAATGAATTCCGGCGTGATACTATACTTTAGTTAATCAAACTCACACGGTGAAAGCAGCTCAAAAATCGTGTAGATCCAGTTAATTTTGTTTGCACAAGAATGCTAACTAACCAATCACTTCAGTTCAAGGATAAAGAAGTACATTTTACCGCAATCCTATGATTCATAGTACCGATAACGAAGAAAAAATACATTGATAGATAGATAGATACTAGCTAACCTTTGAAGCTCAGTTAACCGGGAAGGTAACTCTCCAGAAGTTAACTGAGTCAAAAGATGACATGCTGAGTCAGAATGTGGTGCTGTTGATACTTGGGTATTTTCAATTAATTTCCATAATAAACGTAGATAGACTGCATGCTGTGAATAAACCGAATTAATGCTTGATAGAGATGATAAAAATAAGAGACAAAAACCAGATATTATTATTATTATTATTATTATTATTATTATTATTATTATTATTATTATTACTGTCATCGGATAAAATAGAATACTGACGAAGATTTCTAACCTGAAGACGAAACTTCCGAAAATTTCAGAATTTTACTCCAATAATATGATACAATTTATTCATATACATACCGTCTTAATACACTTTTTGACATAGAATATTGCCCTGAATACGATAACTAAACTTAAGGATGAAATTCTTTGCAGTTTTTCTCATCAAAGAGGCAGTAATAAACCCCTAGAAAAAAGCTTCAGAAAGCTGATCCTTGAGAAGGTTGTTGAACAAAACAATTGGGTCCGTAAACCATCATGTAAAGGATTGAAACCACGAAGATAAACATAGATGTTCAGTTGACAGTAACATGACAAAGGGTAGAGTATTTCCAGGCTCGCTTATTTTCGTTCTGGTTTTGTTTTCTGAAATAAATCACACCTGCTCAACTTGTCCCACTAATGACACACACATACACAAAATGACCTGTTCACAAGCTCGAAAAATAATTGAGGTTTCCTTCTCAGCATTGCTCTTCCCTCTGCTAAAGGTTGAAAAAGCAACCTAGTAGAAACACCTGTCACCATATATTTTCTGAAGTGAATACCCACTCAACTAGCCATTCAGTAAGTCTTGAATCCGCTAAGTATCTTGTTTTTCATACCTATATACTCTGGTAACGCAGATGCTGAAGTAGATTTGAAACGTTGATATATTCTGCAATCTATATTCAATGTATATGTCTCCAAAAGTTTGGTAAAAGTTGATCAACTATAAAATTTATGTTACACTTTTAGTGTTATTATTGTAAGGGTGAAAAATTCACAAAAAGTAAACTTGAAGTGGAGAATTTCAACGCTTTAAATTAAAGCATCACAGATACAGACAGTGTTCAAGCGGTTTTCATACCAAATAAATACAAACCAGAGAACTATTGAAAATGGAAAAGTTATGAATAGCTATTTAGTCTATATCTCATAACATTCAGAACTTTTAGGCACGACATTATGTAATATCCAGCCTATATCCCAGATATACTCAGAATACATATTCCATTCCACCCTAAACCCTTTGGATTCTTTCAGATTTTAAATTGTTTCTTTGACACGATCGAAAATAATTCAACTAAGAAGTAAATTAATCACAAATTATATACAATCCTCAACATACGACCGCTATCATCAACATGGTGTATACAACAAATAAACAAATAAAAGCACCTATGACGTAGTACTAAAAATGTGAAACAAATTAGCAACGTATGGTGACTTACCGAATCAATGATATTCTAGGCAGGTTATGCACTTCAGAAAGATAATAATGCAGTTGAGCCAAAGAACGAATCAATTCCGACTCACTGGTATTATCATTTAAATCAATATCGGGATTTTCTAGTGTAGTTAGAGCACTGGATGCCAGTACAGGCAGATGCTGATGTAGTGCCATGCAGATTTCCTCTACTTGACTAGGCTTTGATGGGAAGCAAACACAAACAAACTAAACACAAGTTGATTATATGCACACAATAGGTACAATAAACAGTTACAGAAGGATAATTTTAAATAAGGTAATCACAAAACAAATATTACAATCACAGGTGTTTTCGTAGCATTGCTCGCATCTAGGGAAATCACCGTGTGAGTAAGGTTGAGGTCAGTAGAAGGGTACTAGACAAGACAGCCAAGGTGATCGATGAGTTTGTTAACCTTAGTCGACTGAGATGGCTTGCACATGTGTGTTACACATGCCGAAACACCACCTACCTCAAAGTACCACGTTAAGGGTAGCTGGATTAAGTTGTAAGAGGGTGCAGGGTAGCTATACGAAAACGTGGCACCAGTCGAATAAGTCTCTTACTGCTGGTCTGAGTTGTGTGGGGAGATGAAGACTACCTGGTTAAGGTGCCCGAGATGACAAGAATCAGCAGTTGAGGACTCTTGGTGACGTCGCTGAAAATCGGTCGCACTGGTGAAGATGTATTCACTCCTTAAAATCTGAAGCCTGAATATTCGCCCTAAATTTTACTTTCAAACTGCTCATTGTTTCATACAGCTGTCTGCTTTAATATCATTCTTATTCTACCCAATTTTTCGTTGTATACTACTATGAAGAGTGGCAACTTGAACCGATGCACTCGTGATATAGTAAATAATACTGTATCAATGTGTGTTATAAATCAAATAAACAAATCTAATATGGAATTCATTTCTACCTCAGTGCCCAAGTTTTACACTTATATTAATCCACTGTTAACCACTATCCATCATTAATATAAGATTGAAGTATGGGCTTAAAGAGGCATCCTCGCAGGAGCCGGTGTGCCAATGGAGACCGACTGATTTGGTCCAGTCAACAGTGGGATAATAAAAGCAACAACATTTATATACACTATGTTGATAAAAAAGCCAGCAAACGTTAGAGGAAATAGGGAAAAGTTGGAAATAGAGAGTATCGTCTTTATATGCAAAACTGTAATAAATCATCATCATCAAGATCAGCATAGGACCAGCCATTATCGTGTAATGGTTCAAGTTGCTACACCTCACACATCAGCACATCAAGTAAAAAGGTGGCGTAGTGGAAGATGATGAAAAAAAATCCGGCCAAAAGAAATGTAAAGTACGAAAAGAGGGAAAAGAATAATGAGGAAATGGTGAGATTCGGTATGACGTTGTTAAGATAAGGATAGTGTGTATACATCTGTGCCACTGACATCGGTTCTGAGCTATATCGCCTAGAGTCTCCAATCACTGATTTCTCTTGTCCTGCGGACCCCAACCACGCAACCAGCATTGCTCTACATCGCTCAAACCAAAGTTCAAGGACTGCATGCATTGATGCCATATTTCAGTCTGGCCGGCCCGAGGCTCTTTCCAGCCTGAACCTACATTGTGTGATGAGGTAGACGGTGATCTGGCATACGTTACACATGCCCTGACCATCTCAGTCAATGAAAATTCACAACCACATCAACTGTATTACCTCTCCTGCCTAAAACTCTACACCTGACTTCTCCGTTACTCACATGGTGATACTACGAAACACGGCTTATGCTACGAAGGCAACAGTGGTCAAACACCTGTAGCCTTCTCATATCTTCTACCATTAATTCTCACGTTTTACAGCCACACAGTAGAACAGAGTGAACTGTACCGCAGTACACTCGACCTCTAATAGACAATCGGATACCACGGCGGCAACATACATGGTGTACGCCAGCCAAGCCCTTTGTGTCCGTGCACAGATTCCGTCCGCCACTGACCCACCAGGGCTCGCTCGACTTCTCAGGTGGGTGAGGTGTTCAACGCACTCAAAAACTTCGCTCTCTATTGTTAGTCGGGGTGCCATTGAAGACCAATCTTGGAGAAACAATTTGCATTTTGGTGGCAAGAAACAGATCCTATACATTCTTAAATTCCCACTCAAGGTGTCCCGAGAGACCCTGCATCTTGTCAACGTCTTCAACCAACAAGACTATGCCATCTGAGTATTCTAGATCTACCAAAAATTCTGTGATAAGGTCAATCACTGTGTAGTCACATGACAAGAGGGAGACATCCATAAGAAAGTCCATGATAAAATTGAATAAGAATGGAGAGAGTGGGCATTCTTGACGGACACCGCTAGACGTACACAACTCACCCAATATCTCACAATGGGCTCTAACACGCCCGTAGGTGTTCGATAAAACAGCTTTCAATAAAGTGATGTGCTCGATGGCCTTTTCAGTGAGAGATGCTGCCATAAGACTTCTCGATCGATGGAGTCGAATGCCACCTTCAGGTCGAGAAATACAACTGTTGTCGGGGCCGGTAAGCGTGCCAGTGTCCCATAACCTGGTGGAGTGTGGATAATTGGTCGATGCACCTACGGTCAGGGTCAGGTCTGAAGCCTGTTTGGTTTTTTCGAGCTTGCTGTTCTCGATCTCCACTCAGGTGTCTAATGACTATAGAACCTAGAATCTTGGACGCTATGTTTGTCAGACTGATCCCTCTGTGGTTATCACAAGAGGACTTCTTACCTTTCTTGAAGACTGGGGTAATCAGTGATTGAGATCAGTCAGAAGGCATCATATTTGACTCACATACACACACTTCAGTTAACTTGACTGAAAACCGTTAACTGTAATTTAGAAGAACTGGTTTGTTCATGCTTTCAACTGAGATGAAAACCCCACAGAAGCCGTTCAATAGACACATCAATTCAAGTAGAGGTCATTTTCAAGCATGACATCGAAACAAGTTAGGCTTCATATCACTTTGGAATCACATAAAATAAATTGCTGTTGTACGTTTCGACTAAGTATGCACCCTATGAAGGATTAAATTCTAATTTGTATTCTGAAGTATAAAAAAAACTAACAGAACTCACCCAAACTGGTCGAAAAAACATTGGTGTAGAATTACAGTCAAAACGATGACATTGGGAAGAATCAGACAATTTTTCCTCTTTATGATCACTTCCTTCATCCTCATCATGATTGCCGTCATCGTCATCTGAAAATATTTCACCTTTTCCCGCTGGAAAATGCAATGGTTTAGGATTGAGAAATGGTCGAATGATAGGCAGACAAGGATCTGCCAACAAATTCGTCAGTAACCAAGAGAGGCAACGAATAATGACTGCAGCTTCTGTAGGTGAGGCAGACCGCATCGAATATGAGTTCGAATCGGTGTTTAGTGAAACACCTACATCAGATATTACACACATATCTGAAGTTCTTGTTCGTGATTCCGAGCTACTTAACATGCCAGGGACAAATACCGTCAACAAAATGTGTAACAAACCTGGAACGAGAAAACAAATAAGTTATTGGTTAGGTGTAAACACATTACAACTGAATCAACCATTAAAAACAAACAATTAACCGGAGAATTATTTCAAATATACACAGATAGATGGGTAGACAAACCGATGCACATCGATACACAGAAATGCATTAGTCCAGGCATAAATACTTGATAGAATTTTAAACAAAAGTAAAGAAGATAATTAAGGATATAAGTGTATTTGACAGTGAGCAAAAAAGAATAATCAACATAGAACTTATATTTATAATCTTTAATATCTGGAAAAAAACTTTGTGCTGAGCATTGCTCATCAAAAAAAACTATAGCACCACCAAGAAGACACGTGAAAAAGAAGAAAGAATGAAAACAGAAACATGAATGAATTCGTGAAGAAGTAATCTCAAAGGTGCACTGAGAATTCACTACTTCCTTTTTACGACTCAGCCACACAAAAATACATAAAAGCTGCAGTAACATCCGTATTGGCTTCGACTGAGCCACGCTTGCTGCATTATCTAACCGGTGACCGACTAATCACCATTGTCCAAAAAGAAGACGTTCCACTGGGTCTAGACGAATGCGTACATTCAAGCACCCCGCAGGCACTACTGTTTTTATCAAGTGTATCTTGTAGAGGTAATTCAATTAATGCTAGAACTCATATTCAATTGCAGTCCGGCTGCAATCGATCAAAAGAAGGAGGAAGCGGAGGGGAACATCACCCATTTTGCCAGTTACTTACCATTCCGATGAGTTCTCACCTAACAGCACATTAGCTCATACACGTGCAGCTGTTAGTCCGAAACACTATCGATTTCACACTTGACCTCATCTGTTCAATGCGGTGAATCCTCACAGTTCACTTCACTAATGTCTGGAGATTCAATGATTAGCTCAATAGATTCACTGGTGTAGATATGACACTAACTTGTCGAGTAAAAAGTCAACGTCTCAAGTGGATACCAGTCAAAAGCCGTCCTATGTGTCTTCCGATTGAACTAATTCGTAACAAACGGAACGATCGTGAGATTTTCCGATGTATACTGATAATCTCAACAGACACACCTACCTAATGCAGTTAGGTAATACAAAGGATGATTTCCATCAAAAGTTGTCAATCCCGCTGCATAAAGTGAAACGTTCAGATACAGTCAAAAAGGCGGACGACTTCAACGCTCGAGCAGGGAAGCTTTACCAATCGGAAAGGTATCTTGAAAGTATTTGACTGACAAAAACCAACGTAAAATCTCGCACACAAGTGCATCAGCTCAAATTACCATATTTCATAGTAGTATAAAAAGAAAAATTGGGTAGAATAAGAGTGATATCAAAATACATAAAGTTGTGTGAAACAATGGGCAATTTGAAAGTAAAAGTTAGGGCGAATATCCAGGCTTTGGATGTCAAAGAGCAAATAAATCTCCACCAATGCAACCGATTTTCAGCCATGAAACCTAAAATCCTCAAAGACTGATTCATTTCGTCTCGGGGACCACAACCACGCAGTCTAAATCTCCCCACACGACTCAGACCAACAGTAAGAGACTTTATCGACTGGTGTCATGTCTTGGTCTAGCCCACCCCGCACCATCTCTCAAACTTATCTAGCTTCACCCGGCATGGAACACCGGGGTAGACAGTGGCTCGGAATGCTTAACACGTGCAAGTCATCTCAGTCAAATTAGGTTCACAACCTCATCTATCGACATGCCTGTCCTGCCAAAAACACTATGCCAGACCTCAACGTTGCTAACTCGGTTATTCTATCAAACGCGAGCAATCCTAAGAAGACATATATGATCAAAACCCAGTAATCCCTTCATGTCTTCTAACTCCAACGACCATGTCTCACATCATCCGCATAAGAGGAAGGAAGAGACTCATCCCTTGACAGATGGTCGAATATCTCACCAGTCGGCGCCACAGATGACTCAAGTTGGCAAATAACAAATGAGTCTTCTATGTACGAGCTGAGATTTTGTCAGTCACCATATTGTTTGGCATCATTCAACTCCCTAAGGAAGTGAAGTTATCGACGCATTCCCCTACTTCATTCCCAATCATTAAACTTGGAATACTTGCAGAAGACCAGTCCTAGAGCAACTTCCTATATTCAAAAAGGTGTGAAATGCATACCAAATACACTCAGATTTCTGTTCAACACGTTTGGATGACTCTGTATTTTGTCAACGTCTTCATCTAGCAGCACAAAGGCGTTTACGTACTCCAAGTCAACCAGATGACCACCAGAGACGATGGAGTATATCAATCCCCGTGAAGTCAGCCATATATAGAGTTATGTCCATGAATACACCTATACCGAAGTTAAACAGGAACGGTGACAATGAACATCCAAAGTGGACACCAGGGATTCACATGAAAACTCTGCATCATCCCTTGACTCATAAGGTTGCATGAATTCGACCAGAGAGATTTGATAAGCGTCATATATTTTCTCGGTACTCCCTTCATACTCAAACACTGCCAAAACACCTCATGGTCGACACAGTCGAATCTCACCTTCAGGTCAAGAAATATGGCAAGTGTCGGTCATTTGCCAGTAGGTATGACAGTGTTCCAGAACCTGTCATAGGGTAAAACCATGATCGATGTACTTTCATCCAGATCTGAAACCTTTCTGGATTTCTCAGGTTTGTTGTTCTCGAGCTCCAGTTAGGCCTAAGATAACTATGGGTCCTAGGATCTTCAACACCATATTGGTCAAACTAATTCCCGTATGGTTGTCGCAAGAAAGTTCCTTTCCCCCCCCCCTCATAGGTCGGAATGATCAGTGAAGGATAACACTAGACTGACGGCACTATCCATGATTCCTATATACTATCTGGTACCTCCGTCACTCTAATCACCAATTCCCTATCTCCATCCTTAAATACTTTAAGTAGCAAGTCATCAGATTCTGGTGCTTTGCATCATTTCAGGTGCGATGCAGCTTTCTCAACTTCAAGAAGAGTTGGAGGACCAGGATTCACGTTCTATTCAGGTTTAGACAACATGTTGAATAACTGAAGCGTTGGTGAAGGTCTGTTGAACTGTGCTTCAGAGTGTTCCTTAATAAGTCCGAAGCTTATTCCTTCGCCGTCTCTCTCGCTTTCGTGACCCACCACTGCTCGCGATCAACGCGAAGACCCTTGGTCAACTTACTTTTAAGTTGCGTCCGCTCTTTATTGTGGTCAGAACCTGTTGGAATCAGTCACCACGTATCAATCACTTCGGATGACCTCGCAGAAACCCAACGACGTTTGTTAACACCTTCGAGTGAAGGCTACAAATTATCTTAACCGCTGTTTCTACAGCAGACTTAATATCACGTCAAGTTTCCTCAGGATCAGCATTCATGTGATATTCAGATAAGTGTTTAGCTATCTCTTCCTTAAATGTGTACTTGACGTTCTCATCTACCGATTGACTATAGATAGGCTTTACTATCACCCGTTTCCTGCGACCAGTGAGGCGCAGACATACACGAGCCCGTACTAGAACATGATCAGAGTCAAAACTGGTACTCCAGAAAGAGGGGGAATCCTCTACTGATCCTCTCCAAAAATGTCTTATAGCAATGTGATCTGTCTGTGTTTATCGTGGTTTGAAGTCAGCTGACGCCATGAAGGTATCTACGGTATCCCATGAAAACATACTGACAACGGTGATCATTTGTTACAAATTACTTCTGCTAACCACTTGCTTCTGACACACACTAGCTTTAGGCATAAGGAGTGATGTCTCAAATGGCATCCACCGACACCAAACCAACGACAAACACAGATAGATCACATTGCTAGAAGTCTTCGTGGATAACTAAAGAACCGGTACTCTCTCTCTCTCTCTCTCTCTCTCTCACACACACACACCTTGGATTCGAAAGACCTATTTGGTACCTGACAGCTTACATCATCATATCTCCGGTGTAGACGAGAAATACGACTATCTTTTAAAGGATGAGTGTAGTGCACTATAGCCCACTTTGTCCTATTAAACGGCCAAGACAGGATTTATAAAAGTCAATGATAAGGTCACACATTTACACCACATGTGTCTGCGCCGCTTTGATCGCAACATATAGTGAGATTACTGTGTTAACAGTGTCGAGTTCAGACGAAGGATTCCGGATAACGAGTGATTGAGTTTGTTTTATATATCCAGAGGCACCGTTTATATGAACTTATGATGCTAGCCGAAGTTAGATTGCATTGGAAGAAAACTAAGGGCAATCAGAGCAAGATGGTATACCAGTCCACGAAGTAGTTGACTGTTGTTCAAGTAAAGTGTCGATTGTCCGGCTTTGGTTCTCAACATAATAAAAGTCAGTGGTTGGTGAATCTTGGTAACACAGTTGAAAACAATCTTAATGACGCAAATGTATTCACCATTTAACATCTGAAATTCGAACATCCTCACCAATCTTCAATTAGTTTTCCCTCATCTCTTACATACTATTACCTAGCTGAATGCTTTTACCTTTCTATCCACCTTTTCTTCCCACGCTACTGTGAAGTGTGACAACTTTGATCGGAGCAATTTTGTCGCAGTTTCTACATAGCTATGCCTGGGCTTCTTAGAAGTTGGATGGTTTTCAAAGAACCCAATCAGCCAACCTACGTCTCTATGTACATGGATCACACCAACACTCAAATAGTTTATGAACTAGTCAAAGAAAATGAACCATACTACTTAACATTGATAGGGCACAAGGGTCATCATAAAAAGAGAACTCTGTTCACATTAGTTTTAGCTTCATGCATTGTAGATAAGCTAAGGTGAAAAAAATAATATGTTAGGTTGGAGTTCACTATGGACTGATACACGTTGAAAGAATAGTGGAAACTTAGGAGCTCTGGACAGCTGTTTCATCCTTGTATGGGACTCCTCAGTAGTGCGCACCCATGACCCCACAAGGGATCGAACCCAGGACCTTAAGGGTTCCGTGGCCAGCACGTTACCACTGAGCTAGACACTGGGTTGTAATCCAATGGGCCACATTTCCTACTTCTATCCAATGTCGTCGTTGAGTGATTGTCCTCATGTTTGAATTGGTTGGCTCCACCGGTCACGACTTCTAATTGGAACTTCGGGAATCACCTCTTGAAGTTAGCTACCAATGAGCGCTATATGAATTCAATCTGGAGGTTTGTGGAGATTTATTAATTGGTTTCAGGTTGGAATCTATTCAGTGGAGTCAACCAAGTCGAACATGAGGAGAGTTACTCAATGACGACACTGGGTGGAGGTCGCGCTATATCGTGAACTGATAGAAGTAGGAAATATGGACCATTGGGTTCCGACCCAGTGTCTAGCTCAGTGATAACATGCTGGCCACGGAACCCTTAAGGTCCTGGGTTCGATCCCTTGCTGGGTCGCTGGTGCGCACTGGTGAAGAGCCCCATACAAGGACGAAATAGCTGTCCAATGTTCCCAAATTTCCAATGCTCCTTCAACTGATATCAGTCCATGATGAATTCCAACGTGAAATAAATTAATAAATCTCCATAAACTTCCAGAGAGAATCAAAAATAATATTTTTCTAATGAAACTAACATATCTGTTATTATTGATTACCACTCAGGTTTAACGATGGTCCTAAACCAAGAAAAATTAGTCAACTAACTTATCGTGTGATTCTCCTGAGGGTTATTCACTTGCTTGCCCCATATGCTATTATTATTATTATTATTATTATTATTATTATTATTATTAGTCCCTTGGGTTCCTAGTGGAACATAGGGCTTCAGTAGCACGCCTCCAGTGACCTCTGTTCTCTGAGATCTTTTGAACCTGGTCCCACGACAGCCCACAACCTCTCATTTCCTCCTCGCACGACCTCCTCCATGTCACCCTCACCTCGGACACCCAACTCGTCGCTTCCCATGGGGATTCCACTCGAGGGCCTGGCGCGTGATGTCCTCAGTCGGCCTTCTCAGTGCATGGCCAATCCATCTCCACTTCTTCCTGCATATTTGTTGCGTGATAGGTTCTTGGTTGGCTCGTTCCCAGAGTTCCTTGTTGCTTATTCTTTCTGGCCATCTGATCTTCAGTATCGAGCCAGCGTATGCAGTTGTTGATGAATGTCTGTAGTTTATTGGAAATGCCTTTCGTGACGCGCCAAGTCTCTGAGCCATACAAGAGCACTGACTTGACGTTGGTGTTGAAAATCCGTATCTTGTTCCGCATGCTGAGTGCAGAAGATCTCCACACTGGTTTCAGGCTAATGAACGCCTGTCTTGCTTTTCCGATTCTGACTTTGACGTCCTCGTCCGTCCCGCCTGTAGTTGAAACAGTGCTTCCTAGATAAGTGAAGGAGGTTACTTCCTTCAAGTTTCTCCCGTTGACGGTGATTGGAGTTTGTTGTTGTTGTTGATGTTGGTGGTGCGGTATCTTCATCACTTCTGTCTTCTCTATATTCACCTGAAGTCCCGTCTTCGCTGCCTCTTCTATCAACTTGTTAGTTTTTGCCTGCAAATCTTCAAGTTTGTGTGACATTAGGCACAAGTCATCGGCGAAATCCAAGTCTTCTAGGTTCTTTTCCGCAGTCCAGCGTATCCCCCTCTTCCCGCTGCCTACTGTTTGCTGCATGATCCAGTCCACCACAATAAGGAATATCATGGGGGATAGTAGGCAACCTTGTTTCACTCCTGTCTTCACTTCAAAGGCATCACTGAGCTTCCCATTGTGAATTACTTGGCATGTGGCATCTTCATATAGTTGTTGAATGAGGCGGATAAAGGTTTGCGGTACTCCATAGTATTGAAGCAGTTTCCAAATTACTTCTCAGTCGACGCTGTCAAAGGCCTTCTCAAAGTCGATGAAGTTGAGGTAGAGAGCTGATTGCCATTCTATGCTCTGTTCTATGATGATGCGAAGCGTTGCAATTTGGTCTGCACATGATTTGTGCTTCCTGAAGCCTGCCTGTTCCGGTCGCAGTTTTGAATCCAGTGCATCTTTAAGCCTCTCCAGGATGATGCGGCTTAATATTTTACTTGCTTTGGGTGGACAGGAGAGTGATTCCGCGCCAGTTCTTGCAAGCACTCAGGTCTCCTTTCTTCGGCAGTTTGACAAGGTAACCCTTCTTCCAATCACTAGCCAGGTACCTTCTCTTCCTTCCACACCTTCTGCAATAGTGGTGTGAGCATGTCCGCTGCTGTTGTCTCTGCATCTGTTCTCAGTGCTTCTGGCGGTATTCCATCTGGTCCTGCTGCTTTCCCGCATTTCAGTAGCTTTATGGCGTTCAGGACTTCCATTTTCGTTGGAGGATTTATGTTCACTTGTAATTCAGCGGCTGCAGGTGGTATTTCTGGACGAAGTGCAGGTGGTGGTCGATTCAAGAGCTTCTTGAAGTGGTCGGCCCATCGTTTCCTCTGTTTCTCTTCTTTTGTAATTAAATTTCCTTCTTCATCTTTTATTGGTTTCGTCTGCGTTGATCTCTTCCCTGATAGCAACCTGGTTATTTGATACAATGTCGTCAGGTCTCTCTTACCTGCAGCCTGTTCTGCTTCACTTGCCAGTGTGCCGAAGAAGTGTCTTTTGTCTTTGCGTGCACTCTTCTTCACTTCTTTGTCCAGTGTTTTATACATTGTGCTCAGTTCCTCTTGTCGTTGAGCATCCTTGCACTGGTTTATCTTCTGCTTCACCATCCTCCTCTCCTCTATCAGCTTCCAGGTATCCGTCGAGATCCATTCCTTGTCTTCTTTCTTCTTCCTTCCTAATACTGTTGTGCAGGTTTCTTTCCACATAGCTTTCAAAGACTTCCAGTGTTCTTCCACACAGGTTTCTTCAGGGATGTTCCTCGATATCTTCCATTTTGTCTTGATGGCTGACGTGAAGATCTCCTTTGTAGTTTCATCCTTCAGTTTCCGAGTGTTGTACTTGAATTGAGGTCTATCACCAGCTTCCTTGAAGGCTTTCAACTTGATTTGGAAGGTTCCTTGCACTAGATAGTGGTCTGAACCTACATCTGCTCCTCTTCTTGACCTTGTGTTAAGTAGACTGCGTCTCCATTTTTTGAGATTGAGATAAAGTCGATTTGAGTTTTAGTGTGTCCATCTGGTGAAATCTATGTCGCTTTGTGGATATCTTTGTGTCTGAACACACTGCCTCCAATCACCAAATCGTTGAATGCGCAGAATTCTGAAAACAATTCTCCATTCTCGTTCATCACCTCACCGAGCGCTTCTCGACCCATGGTTAGTTCTCTTCCCGTGTTGTCCCCTCCCAGTTTGGCATTCATGTCGCCCATTAGAATTTTGATATCGCCAACTGACGTCTTGTCCAGTGTTGATTGAAGTTGTCTGTAGAAATCCTCCTTCCTCTCTTGCTCTGCATTATTTGTAGGTGCATAACATTGTATGATTGTGACCTTTCTTCCTTTTGAGTTGAATCTTGCTGTCATGATCCTGGAGGAGATTGGTTCCCACTGCATGAGAGCCTTCGATGCTCTTGAGGACATCATGATAGCCACTCCCTCAATGTGCTCGTGGTTGTCGTCTGGGTGACAATATCGGAGTAGATTATTGATTCTCCAGTTGACAGTTTGGAGAGTCCACTTCCATTCCATCTGCTTTCGCAAATCCCAAGCACTTCGATGTGATACCTTCTCATCTCCTTTGCAATCTGGGCTGCCTTACTGGGTCCAAACATCGTACGGACATTCCATGTCCCCACGTTTACTTTCGCTTTCATCGAGAGAAGACACATCGGCCAATTGGCTTCCCGAAGGCTTTCACCAACTGGCGTCATTTCGCCTCTCCGATTCCAGCGGGGAATAAGTTTGTTTTCATTTTTTATATTTTGTTTGTGCTTTGAAGTTTCTTTAGCGGTTAGATTTGTTTTACGGGGTAGGGTTGCTAGCCCTATGCCCAACCTTCCCTCTTTACCCGGGCTTAGGACCGGCTAGTAACTAGTAAACTAGTTAACCAGGCGAGGTCTATATGCTATACGGTATCCATATTCAGCCTAGGACTAACTAACCAACCATCATACTAAAGTCACCTACTAAAACCACTAACCACTACTCACAAAACGAGATAAGATGATGAAATAAGCAATCGAAGTAAACCTAAATACTAGACAACTATTTTAGAGCTAAAATCACAAGTACTCTACTCAAGGATAATCAACTAAAGATAGGAATCGAGTTGATTTATTCCACTGGTGTGATATCTAAGTGACAGTATCGATGAACAGTATAACGTTATTTTCTTTCTTTTGAATTCATTTTATTAATTAGTGTACTCTCGTATTCTGCCGCATAATATTCTAGGCATCAGAGTTCACCTAAACTCGTTTTTGTAAAAGGTTTACAAAGACGACAACTTGAAAAATAAACTGAAGGAAGCACGTTATTGATGCCATCATCGCAATTGACAACTAGACTGTCATCAGATTATTACCGGGTCGGAAAACAATTATGACTTCCTAACGTATTAGTTATCGAAGTTCGAGACTTTTAATTAAATTCTCTTCAGATGATGCAAATGAGTGAAAGGTTTTAGATAAACACATTACAGATTATGGAAATCAACTTTCACAAATCCATCGACTTGAAGCAATGTTCACATGTTTTTCTGACGATGAACAAATATTTTAACACGCTTATTTTTATTAGGGAAATGCAACAAACTTTACAAAGTACTTACTAACTGAAGGAATTAATGACAATATCTTTCTATTATTTTCATCAACGACTGTTTTATTTTTGTTTTCCATAGCACTCAAGCATTCATTGACGATAATTTGGTACAGTCCAGGTAATCTGAACAACTCCTCACCAACAGAGCGTATAATGCGTTCGGTAATGCTATAACTTTCGATATACAGAAGAAGAATATCATTCAATGCTGTCACAACAATTTCTTTATATGAGTCAGATGCTGAATTCTGTTAGAACAAAAGAAACAAAAAAGTGACGAGGAGGTGAAGAGATAAAACACTAGAATATGTGCAAAACTAACTTAATAAACTTTTTTTGAACCTTGTGGAATCTTTTCGTTTTAAACCACTCCTAAATACAGGGTGAAATTAGTTGAAGAACCAGGAAAATCACACTGGGCAGGTTTTTATTTTGAGACTGATGAAAAATGTGCATCTTAAGAGTTCCATGGTTAGCTACCCTATAAACACATAGAGTGTAGAAAAAACGTAAGTTTGTAGAGTAGAGAGAACCATATCCTAATTGAAAGTTGCTATGCATTGTCCAGTTGAATGAGTCTTGAAGTACTCTCAAGGATAATCGGACACGTCTTCATTTACGCACTCATTTAAAGTGAAGTAGACGATGTGAAAATGAATTTCACCAAAGACTGCAAACCTTACTGTGAAAGTTCGAACGTTTAGATACATTAGTCCAGCTGGTGACTTTAACAACCAAGCAAAGAAGCTTAGTAAGATATCCTATGGATACCTTAAGAATGAGAAATAGAAGAATCCATTAAGGCAATCGCTTTCTTCGATTTCTCCACAAGTAAAACTTGTTCATCGTGAGCACTTACAACTTAATAAGTGACAACGTCTCACTTGTAAGCTACCAATATAAAATCAGAGATATATCGCATTTCTGTAGGCCATCGCTGGAGGATAATCTTTCGTTCAATTATCTCCCAGGTTTCCAACTTGATGTACGCGAAACTATAACAGTTTGAATGATTTCAAGCCTCATTCACAGAAAGACCAACCACTGATTCTTAATAAACTCAGAGAAAATGTTGATATTTCAGTTGATCGCATGATGACATAATTCTGCTAATGGTCAGAAACCTCATAGGTGATGTATGTTAACATCCTACTCGGGAATTCGCATCTCGACTTACTGACAAAAATATACGCCGGTTTTATCGAAAAGAGATTCGAGTCGACTGGACACCAGAGCATAAAGAAAAAAATTATGCAATAAACTTTTGCCTTGTGATACCCCGTTGGTAACAGACATAATTTTATAGTATAACTCGAAGTGAACAGTGTTCCAATATACTTGCGTTCATTTGATGAGTCTTTTTACGAAACGAAACAAACATAGAATCTTTCATTTGTACTTGCTACTAAAAATAATTTAGGAACAAAACAATGGTCTAAACAAAGAAACCCCAAGACAGTAAGTACTATTACCTGATGTTTTTTTTACTTCAATAAAGCAGAACGAAAGAATAAAATATACCAGTGAACAATACATTTAGTAGGAAATCTCTTAAACTGATATGCATATTTCCCTAGTTAGATTAGAATAATATGAACACCGAATGACTATTTCACTCATTTGTAGCTCAACTCTTCAGTAACGTAGTTTATCATAATCAGTTTACAGATGAATTAAATTTTTAAAATAGACTAAGTCAGCCTAGCAGATTTAGGACTGATTAGCAAGTTATTTACTAATTCGCTTTGATGTTTCTTATGCCTGAATCATTTTTGTCAACACACTTAACTGTAATGTTAATAAAGCTTCCAAAGTAAACTACCTAGACGGGTCAAAAACGAGAAATATACATTTAAATTATAGGAATATGTTAGCTTGCCTTGTGTGCTTTAACACTGAACAAGTGTCCACATAAAAATAAAGCGAACACGTAAATACAAGACACTCACGGAAAGTGGACCATGGTTTTCTGATATGACAGAAATACACTTTAAAGGTGCAATCAACAGATTCATGAAACAATTATTTCTTGGCCGTTTTAAGTACTCGATTGCAGCAAAATCATTTGAATTCATAGTCGAATCTGGAACATCATCAGTTGAACAAATCGGATGTTGACTAATAAAATAAGCTAATCGCTTAAAGTAATTCTGTCTTGATAGGTAACGGCAAAACCATATAATATTTCGGCATACTTCATGCACGTGCAACTTAAGTTTTGCAGAATCCATTGAGGTTAGAAAAACGCTTTCTAATACACACACTGGCAATGTGAAGTTGGAAGAAATCGTCGACAGTGGAAGTTCTGATAAATACCTATAAAAGAAAAAGTATTGAATGGATGTTTTCCTACAATTCACGGAAAGCAAATATCCAAATTACAATGCTAACACAAAGATCGTAAACCACATTACCATGTGTATCTTATGCAATCGAGTTTCAACCAAGTTTGAGATTCGATCTCTGCTCCACCCAATTCGACCTTGCCATTCCCTAGCTCATATACACTATGTGTGATTGAGTTGCGTATCTCCCCGTATGAATTAAAGTAGACCAAGTGGAACTGGAATTCAACTGGCAATTATGAAAAAGGTGACTAAACGAATGAGTCACTGATGAGTTTGCTTTATAATCTTTAGAGTTTATTGAATCTTGCTAGGAATGCTATTTAAGAAGAACAACAGGATATTCTGATCTTTCCTTTCACTAACTAATGAGATAGAAAATCAAACATTGGAACTGAAACCAAAAGCAACAAGGTTCAGAGTGATAAGCTGGAGTAAAGGATAACAAAACAAGGTTGATCATATTTCGGAGAAATTCTTGTACTGTCGGAAAAGTTTTTTTAAAGGGTTAGTAACTTTCAGATCATGAACACCGAAAATGATAAAATTTCATCTGAATTACTTGGCGAAAGAGAAACTGGATTAAAAGCCCGTAAATAATATATGGGTTGTACGGATGACGTTGATCAAATATATACAAACGCCAGAGATGATGAATGAGATACTTCCTATCAACTGACTCCAACAGATTTGACATCAGTGTTGCATTCGATTACAGAAAAACAAGCGATTTATGACAAATGGATAACAACATTTGTTATAAGATACATAAGATATAGTGAAACTTCACAGAGCAGAAAAAAAGAGACTATGAGAACAAAGCTATGACAGAGATGAAGATAACGCATGAGATACATTTGCGTAGCTGTGACGGAATTATTGTCTTTCATCACCTTGTTCTTGCTTGTTTTGCAGACTATAGAGCAAATCCACATTTTTCTACATGCTTCAGACTGAAAATTGAAGTTGCCTAATGGAATGAGGCTGCATCTCGGTCTCATTACCATTAGTTGTTTTTTCAATCTAGTTCTACTCTATCAAAGCTTCACAACTTCATCAGCTGACTAACTGACTACAAGTCACTTCGTCTGTTGATACAGTCTAGACCTAATAAATGATGAAATTAATTACCCACAGTCGATCAATCAGTACTGCATCTGAATACAACAATGAATTGGAGACTTGAAGACAGCTTTTGTCACAACCCACGTTGCAGCAGATGATAACGATTAGAGTAACTACATAATCACTTTTCAGTTCACATCATCGTCACGATAGACAATTATATATATATATATATATATATATATATATATATATATATATATATATATATATCACAACTAGATTATTCTCTTTACTATCATTTGTTTGCACACCGCTATCTATATTATAGTCTTGAGATATGGGCTATTTAATGCAACTCACTTAGCATTTGGTTGCACTAAATTCTAAGCTACTCTCTGATGACCCTTAAATCGCTGTCTTTCATTCATTTTGTGGCGATTTACAGTCGCTTATTTCGCCAATATTAAAGTGAACCTAATAATCTATAGATCTCATGAAAACTCCATTAGTGTTCAGAGAAACAACACGCTCGAACTATATTGGCTAGACTGAAATAATGATTTATTACTCATATCGAAGTAGTCCCAGTGGAGTAACAATAATAGCTTTGAAACCAATTAATGAAACATTATAAACAACTAGAATTTCAACCTGGAAAAAACTGTCTCTTATAGACATTCACACTTCCTAGACATAATTGGGCCTGTTAGTTAGTAGAAGGGATTTAGACGAAGTAATGAGTGATGATTACTGACGAAGTCAATAATAAGTGCAGACATAAAGGAAAAAAGAGACGACAATAATCAATAAAACAGAAATCTCACTTGACAATGATTACTAAAAACCGCCCTAGCGTGAAAATACAATCAAGAGAAGAATTCAGAATCCAACTGGTTTGTGCCAGTTGTCCATATTTTGTGAGTAGTAAGTGACAAATGGTAAGCTGTTGAAAAAAAGGCAATTAAAGTAATCAGACTGAGCACCAAATAAATAAAATATAGGAATTTTAAACAAAAACAAATAATAATTCTACACTATATATGGTTTATATTTATGTGAGCCACACTTGGAAATTCAAAATCACGGTAAAGGTAGTCAAGAGGATACACTGGACCTAGGTTAAGGACTTCTCGCCGATTTCGTTCAACCATCTGATAATCGTTTCCGAATAACGCAGTGAGGAACATAGTATTTGAAGAACACAATGACGTGATTTATTTCAGTGGATTTTTATCAGCTGCGAACAATTTAGATAAGTAAATAACCAATGCAAGAATGAAAGCATATATATAAAATCTTGTAGTATTAGTTTAAACATCTGGTCGTTAACTATGTGATTCCAGCCCGGTCTTCTCATGTCGAAGACTAAGGTTTTTTGGTTGGAGTTAAGAATAAAATCATAACCCAAACCTCTCAAAAAGCTATGTAACTGACTTCAATCAGACTTTGGGGTCTGGTACACCATTTATTTACTAAGTACCTCAAACAGAAGTGAGATTACATAGTGTAAACAGTCACATAGCTTTTCAAATCCCTTTCATTCATCATCATCTCCCCGAACACTTGTCTTCTAATCTATTATCACATCTCTACGTCAGTATTCGCATGCCATCATCTAACTTCAGAACAATCATTGATTTAGGGGTACAACACCCTTAAAATGTAAACTAAAAGTACCTTAAGGAGATGGACTACAGATAAGGATGGAAAATGATGTGGATCTAATGCAAATTTAGAACTAAACTTCGCTGATTACGAAAAAAAGCGAATGAAGATAAGGAACTGGGAGTTAATAATTCCTAACCGGATAGAAAGTTATTGTTGACAAGCGCACCATTCTTACAAGCACCTCGATAGTACGGTAAATAGTGAATGGTTGAGAAAGCCAGGACATGCATCCCATTCTGCCCGAAACACATCGTTTGAGTACTGTGCCAGTCCTGAGTCTTGAACCAAGTGATCATTACTTCAAGTGCCAAAACGTCTTAATGGATTATAACTATTCACTAGATGCTCACATTTAAGAGAGGTTCCACAGGTAGTCACTTTCAAATGCTGTAGTGAGTGCTACTGATAAAAATGCATATAAGTAGTATATGTTAAAGAGTCAGAAGTCATAGGCAATTACGAGCGATGGATAAATATTTTGCCCAGGTGAGGGCAAAAGATGACGTGGGCGTATCGATAGCAAGACGAGATAGAACTTAAATATATTGAGCAAATCGGTATTTCAGTGGAACGGTATAATATTTTATTAGTAATATACAAATTGTCATAAAAAACAACCCTTCTGTAATTCACCCTTTACCCTTATCTTCAATACAACTTCCATTCACTTATAAGCTTCTACAGTGCAATATTCAGGGAAGAATTTATAACGAGTGAAAGATTTAAAGAATCTAAACTCACGAGGCGATCTTTGTTAGCACTTTTACAACAGCATAAATTGAAAAGCCTCAGCAACTGTAAAAGTTCAACTTCCCATTCATGCCCAGTAATGGGAACATCATTATGGAAAATATTTAATAAGTGTTCCGCTGATTTATCGAACAACTGAAGAAATTGAGTTTTCTGCAATAAATAAAAGTAAAGTGAACTCCAGTTTTAAAGTAATTCTTTGTATGTAAGTCTAATTTAACTGAACCCCTGAAAAATATTAACCTAAAAATTAAAAGTTAGTATAAATGTAGATACAAAGGATAGCGCAAAATCGAATCTTGTACAGAAGTGCATGGGCTTAATTTGTCACACTTCACTGTAGCATGATGCAATGAAAAGGTGAACAGAAGTAAACAAATAGCTAAACCAAACGCATACAGTAGGGCTATCCTAACTTTAGTAGGCAAAGTGGGTTTCAAACCAGTAGCCCACTAGATGAAAACTCACTGCCTACACCAAGCAGCCACAGCATCGCCAACCTCAAACGCAAGTAGAATGTCGTTACAATTAAAGAAAACATAGGAGGTCGAATGATAGTGTGTAACGCCTTTAAAAACTCAATTACTTTTCAGTGTCGACATCAGGATTCCCTTGTCTTTTTGCTGTGAATTATAATTGTTAGTCGATCATCTTTTATTATGAAACATAAGTGCATTCTTTGCGCTTGCTGAGTCTTTGGCTTACGCTTTCCTTTTCCTCTTTCCCGTCTCACCCTTCCACGCCGTCTAAGTGGACCCGCCACTCCGAAACCTACACACTTCTGTCCCTCTAACCAGCAACAACATACACATACCTACAGGCTAGATGAACGCCTACCAATAGTTTGGCGTTACAATTCCATACAGTTGCGCAACTATCATTTTAGTCCATTTTATGCGTTTTCAGCAGGTGAGTAATACCTAATATCACAATTTTCTAGTCGCATAGTCTACAGTTTATAAAACTATGTAGACAACGAAAACTACAGACAGCTTATAGAATCTTCATGCAAGGAATAGATCCACTGTTTTATGAACTTTCTACTCAGGTATTCTACATACCATCTTTGAATACTCGTAGTTTATACGTACAAACTATACTGTCGACGCGTTACTATTTTCAAATTTATTTTTATATGTATCTTCGTTCTAGTCAGCTGTTCATTGGTTAGTAAAATTCTGTCTAGTCCATCTGCATCACCCGGAGTCACTAAATAGCTGCTTCCAGAAAGATGTGCATCAATGTGATATCTGATAAAAAGCATTCTGAAACCACGCACACCGCTTAAGCTGGACACCTCTAACGTTTGCGCCTATATGCAAATCGAACAAGACAGGTTTGGCTGGGTTTCTGGGATGCCCTGCTATTGATGAATGCTGTAACTTAGAGGGTCGCAAACGAGATCCTACTACAGCGCTTCTAATAATTTCTCTATCTACCGGCTAAAAAGTGTTGTATTTACAGTGCACTCATTCAGGGACCCTGTGGCCTCAGTGAGCTGCCTTGTTGATATTGGCATAGAACTAAGTGTCAGAGTCGAAGATCTACTAGTCGACTCGATTCAGATTAACACCTGTAAGTGTGTGCGCTGTTATCTTAGTAATCTTAATAGAAATGAGAATGAACTGGCAAAGTGGATGATGCTCCTCATCATCTCTGCCTTTGCCTTGATTGACTACAGAAAGGATGAAGTTGGGATTAGCTGAGCGACCTCCACTAAGCGCACTTAACAGAAGTTATAGTGCTAACTGACGACTTGAAAATGCGGGTAAGTTTAGACGCAGTAGAAGATCGTCTTGGTGGATGACGGTGATCAATCGGTCCCCGATCACATAATGAAGTACATCTCCAGCATCTGTGCACAGGTCACGGCCTTTTTCTAAGCAGCACCAAATTTACATAGAGCCATCGTTGGAACTACTTGGCGTCTTCATTCAGCCACCCAAACTTGAGCTCGAAAAGATTATACTGTGATCAACTGCTGGTGGCGTGGGTGTATTCAAAGTTGCATCTCCTTCTGAAGCAACTGCTTGATTTCCGATTAAGCTTTGGTGTGTGTTAAGTTCATCTTGAGTTTTGGTGGCCATCGAAATCACCATCCTACACAATTCGATCTAAGCAAGTCCGTTTTTCTTAGTATCGCGAGTAAATACCAGAACCAGATGGATTTCAGGCAAGTTGTAGGTGCCTCATGACCCCATTGATGGAGTCCGAGAGAATATACAACTCAGTGATTTGAGGCGATAACACATATGACTCAGAATTAAGACTAGTGGAGATCAATCTGCAGCTTTCTTGTTTCTCCTCCCCAGTGAAACGTTAAAAGGAAGTAGTGAATTCTTTGGACCTATCTTTGAGACTATTTCTTTAGCAACTATTTACTAATTGATTTCAGGTTGGAATTCACCACGGGTTGACCTCAGTTGGAAGAACATTGGGAACTTGGGAGCACTGGACAGCTGTTTCGACCTTGTGTGGATTGCTCGGCAGTGCGCACCCACGACCCCGTCAGTGACCAGACCTGCAACCTTCAGGTTTCGTAACCAGCCCGCTACCATTTAGCTGCTCACTTTGTTAGAATCCAATGGCCCACATTTCCTACTTCTGTCATGAGTGCGCACTGCTGAGGAGTCCCATACTAGGACGAAACAGCTGCCCAGTGCTCCCAGGTTTCCGATGTTTCTCAAAATGATTTCAGTCCATGAGAAAATTCCAACCTGAAACTAATTAACAAACCTCCAGGTAGAACTATTTATTATTTTGTTTTTTCCAGTTTTTGTTTTTACTCAATGTTGCTATATTACTTTATATGGCGAATCTCTTGGTATCCATGTTGTGTCGAGTTTGAGCTCTAAATAAGAAATAAAATATCCACTACTTGATTCGGTAATTATTACCTTTCGTCCAACTTAATCGTAAATTAGTTACCATATAAAGGTTGTTCTTACTTTTATTTCTAATAAGTGTGAGGAAATGGTTATAAGCACAATTTGTCCCCAAGGTAACCTTGAGTGACATTCCAGAAGAAACATACTTACAGTTATCCAAATGAGCTACAAATTATAATTATTCAATTCCCTATTTACCAATGTAGATAGCTGATAAAGGTCCAGCATATATAAAATATTAGTAGTTAAAGACTAGCCCAAATGAAATTACACGATCATTTTATTACATTCTCATCTCCATTTCTTCAGAGTTATCAATGCTTTCTCGCCAAGGTGTTATTGAGAAGTGCAGCAATATAAACTGATGTAATCTAATAAGATGTCTTTTACTTTCCCATAAACTACAGGTTACATGAAACTGCACTCATCAGCTGGTAGTGAGTATCGATAAGTGTCCAGTGATAACAACATGTAAGTAAATCTGAGAACCAATGTTGTGTTTAGGCACTACAGAGTATAATCATTTGTTGATTGCAGTCATTCTGAGACACTACCTCGGTTTGCTTGAAAACTTATAACGTGAGCCATTCAGAGTTTGACAACCCTGGAAAAGGATGGAAGAAGCGGAAGTGTTCACTTTGTGATGCAACACAGTAAGGTGAGAGATAGTTTCACTTTTCCATCTCAACCATCTAAATAGAGTTCAGGATTTATGTGATTTGGTGGCTCACAACATCAGATATTCCTTAGAATAAAAACCAGAAGCGATTAAGTTGTAGTTTCCTTATGTCTTCTACTCATGGAAAGCAAAAAGGAAGTTGTGAACGCTCCTCGTAAAAGAGTGTTTCTTTGACCAGTATTTCTTTTCACGGCGATGTGAATATGGCGCCTAAGTTTCATGACGCAAAATCAGCAGGTTGTGGAGTTAGTAACCCAAAAGTTTTTGGTTTGAATCCTACAACAAACCAAGTTTTCGTACCAACTTGAATCATCATTCGAAAACATTTTAACATTTCCTTGTAAACAATCATCAACGCTCATGTAAAAACTACTACAGCTTTTGTTATGTATGGATGATCCCTAAAAAACTAGTTTAACTATAATATTTTCACCATAAAATTCAAAACTTTAATTTCAAGCCCTTTTCGGATACTTGCAAAATTCCTTAACCTACCTACGAAGATACAAAACGATGACTGCACCATTTCATACTTTCAAATATCCTGCTTTGTATTCGATGGCAAAAGCCATTAAAAAGTATAAAAATGCCTTCAGTGGAGTCAATCATCACATCATTCGGATTAACTAAGCGTCACTTCAATCGCATTTGGCATTTCATTCCATTAGCCCGAACTGGTTGATTGCTGACAAAATTTCAGCTCGGATGGAGAAGTCCCGTTCTGCATTCATCAAATTGCGTCATCTCTGGCGTCAGTGAGATATCCTACTATCTGTTGAAGAATGAGTAGGCAGCGCTACAGTCCATTCAGTCTTATTATACGGCTGTGAGACATGGTTGTGTAGAGTTGGAGATATGAACAGATTACCGGTTTTCTAACACTTCACGTTGGAGTTGGCTATAGATCGAAAAGCGCAACGCACACCCTCATGCAGCTGTGCGAGTTCCAGTAGAAAACCTTGATTACATACTTACATACATACTTGTTCCATGTTCCCTTTACAGTTAGACATTGCCGCAACATCTCACGGTCGAATGAGTAAAATCTTGAGGTCAAAAAATATGGCCAGTTTTGATCGCGAGTAAGTATGTCTGCGTTTAAGAACCCGTCTTACGGTGAGCAACTGATTGAAGCGCCCTTGCTAATATGTGAAACATCTCTGGCTTTTACCAGTTTATTGTTCTCCAGCTCCAGCTGGACGTCTGATAACTATTATAATTATTAATTTCTATCCATTGGGTTCCTAGTGGAACATAGGGCTTCAGTAGCACGTCTCCATTCCACTCTCACTTCTGCGCAATCTTCTGAAGCTGTCTCCATCACTGTCCACAAGCTTTCATCTCTTCCTCACACCATCTCCTCCATGTCACCCTCGACACCGACGCCCAACTCGTCGTTTCCCATTTGTATTCCACTCGATGGCCTGGTGCGTGATGTCCTCAATCGGCCTTCCCAGTGTATGCCCAATCCATTTCCACTTTCTTCTGCATATTTGTTGGCCAATACGTTCTTGGTTGGTTCGTCGCCAGCCAGCCAGAGTTCCTTGTTGCTTATTCTTTCTGGCCATCTGATCTTCAGTATCGAGCCAGCGTATGCAGTTGTTGATGAGTGTCTGTAGTTCGTTGGAAATGCTTTTCGTAGCGCACCAAGTCTCTGAACCGTATAGAAGCACTGACCTGACGTTGGTGTTGAAAATCCGGATTTTGTTCTTTGTGCTGAGTGGAGTGCAGAAGATCTCCACACTGACTTCAGATTAGTGAAAGCCTGTCTTGCTTCTCCAATCCTGCTTTGGTGGTGGTGTTGGTCGGATATCTTCATCACCTCTATCTTCTCTACGTTCACTGGAAGTCACGTCTTCGTTGCCCTGCCTCTTCTGTCAACTTGTTAGTTTTCGCCTGTACATCTTCGAGTTTGTGCGACATTAGACACAAGTCATCGGTGAAATCCAAATCTTCTACGATCCTTTACCCGGTCCAGCTGGCGTATGCTCCTCTTCTTGCTCCTCACAGTTGTCTATTGCATGATCCAGTCGAGTCGACCACAATCAAGGAGATCATCGGTGATAGTAGGCGGCAACCTTGTCTTACTCCTGTCTTCACTTCAAAGGCGTCACTGAGCTTTCCATTGTGAATCACATGGCATGTGGCATCATATAGCATATGGTTGTTGAATGAGGTTGATAAAGGTTTGTGGTATTCCGTAGTGTTGAAGCAGTTGCCAAATTACTTCTCGATCGATGCTGTCCAGGGCCTTTTCAAAGTCGATGAAGTTGAGGTAGAGAGTTGATGCGTAGCTTAGTGTTGCAATTCGGTCCGCACATGATTTGTTCTTCCTGAATCCAGCCAGCCTGCCTGCTCCGGCCGTAATTCAGAATCCAGCGCATCCTTTAATCTCTCTAGGATGATGCGGCATAATATTTTGCTTAGGGTGGACAGCAGCATGATTCCGCACCAGTTCTTGCAAAGACTTAGGTCTCCCTTCTTTGGGAGTTTGACAAGGTAGCCCTTCTTCCAATCCACTGGCAGGTACCTTTCCTTCCTTCCAGATCTTCTGCAAACTGGTATGAGCATGTTCGCTGTTGTCTCTCAGACTGTTCTCAGTACTTCTGGTGGAATTCCATCTGGTTCTGCTGTTTTCCGAGATTTCAGCAACTTCATGGCATTCAGGACTTCTGCTTTTGTCGGAGGGCCTCTGTTCACTTGTAATTCTGCCGTTGCTGGTGGTATTTCTGGACGAGTTGCAGGTGGTGGTCGATTCAATAGTTTTTTGAAGTGGTCAGCCATTCGTTTCCTGTGTTTCTCCTCTTTGGTAACTAAGTTTCCCTCACTATCTTTCATTGGTTTTGTCTGTGTTGATCTCTTCCCTCCCAGATAATAACCTGGTTATTTGATATAATGTTGTCAGGTCTCTCCTACCAGCAGCAGCCTGTTCTGCTTCACTTGCCAGTGTGCCGTAGAAGTGTCTTTAGTCTTCGCGCGCACTCTTCGTCACTTCTTTGTCCAGTGTAGTGTTTGATGGGTTGTACTCAGTTCTTTTTTTCGTTGTGCATCCTTGCCTACCGGTTTATCTTCTGCTTCACCATCCTCCTCTCCCTCCTCTATCAGCTTCCATGTGTCCGTGGAGATCCATTCCTTGTCTTGTTTCCTCTTCCTTCCTAATACGGTTATGCAGGTTTCTTTCCACATCGCTTTCAAAGAGTTCCAGTATTCTTCCATACAGGTTTCTTCAGGGATGTTGCTCAATGTCTCCCATTTTGTCTTGGTGGCTGATGTGAAGATATCCTTTGTAGTTTCGTCCTTCAGTGCAGTTTCTGTTCTGGGTGTTCAAATTGAACTGTGGTCTATCTATCACCAGCTTCTTTGAAGGCTTTCAACTTGATTTTCAAGGTAGGTTCCTTGTACTAGATAGTGAGTGGTGTGAACCTACATCTGCTACTCTTCTTGATCTGATCTTGTGTCGAGTAGGCTGACTGCGTCTCCACTTTCTTCACATTGAGATGAAGTCGATCTGATTTTTAGTGTAGTGTGTCCTGGTGTCTGGTGAAATCCATGTTGCTCGCTTTGTGGATATCCTTGTGTTTGAGTACAGTGCCTCCAATCACCGAATCGTTGAATGCACAGAGATCTGCAAACGGTTCTGCATTCTCGTTCATCACTTCGCCGAGTGCTTCTCGACCCATGGTTACTTCTTTTCCTGTGTTGTCCACTCCCAATGTGGCATTCATGTCGCCCATTAGAATTATGATGTCGCCAAGTGGAGTGGTATCTTGTCCAGTGTTGATTACAGTTGTCGATAGAATCCCTCTTTCTTCTCTTGATCGGCATTATTTGTAGGTACGTAGCGTAGCATTGAATGATTGTGATTTTCCTTCCTTTTGAGTTGAAGCTTGCTGTCATGGACCTGATGCTAGAGGAGATTGGTTCCCACTGCATGAGAGTGAGCCTTCGATACTCTTGGGGACATCATGATAGCCACTCGGAAACTCAGTGTGCTCGTGGTTATCGTCAGGGTGACAATATGGGAGTAGATTATTGACTCTCTAGTTGACAGTTTGGAGAGTCCACTTCTATTACATCTGCTTATTCCGTGCAGATTCCTAGCACTTCAATGCTATACCTTCTCATCTCTTTGGTAATCTGGGCAGCCTTGCCAGTCAGCCTCAAACATTGTGTGGACATTCCATGTCCCCATGTTCACTTTCACTTTCATCGAGAGAGAGAAGACACATCGGCCAATTGGCTTCCCGAAGGCTTTCACCAACTGGTGTCATTTCGTCTCTCCGATTTCAGCGAGAAATGAGTTTAATTTTCTGTTGAATGTTTTCTTTGTGCCTTTGAAGTTTCTGTAGCTATTGGATTGGTTTTACGGGGTAGGGTTGCTAGCCCTATACCCAACGTTCCCTCTTTACCCAGGCTTAGTACCAGCTAGTAACTAGTGAACTAGTTAACCAGGCGGTCTTATATATATATATATATATATATATATATATATATATATATATATATATATATATATATATATCTGCATATCAAAGCAATTTCAGTTAATGAGTCATCGATCACTCCGTTGTGAATTCGCTTCACAAGTTAGGGCGGCCTGCTTAAATCTTGGGCTACCAAAACATTTCCACTGATTATATTCCATGAAATTCTCCCTTTTCAGTTTGTTTTAATCTTCTGACGCATCATGTACTCTTGTATGTTTTTAAAGTGTTTTCGGACTTTCGTTTCTCAAGCTAAGAACAAACAAAGGAAAAACGTCCAGCCAGTTGGAATAGATTTGCGAATGCTCAAAAATACACGACTTACTATGCCTAGGATACTTTTACATGATTGTGAATTTCCGTGCTTGCTGACTGAACTGCCACCATCAAAATTACACTCGGTTTTGTGTTGATTTCCAAATCGGGACCATATGCTTATATAGCATCAGATTCCCGTTTCACGCTTATGCCTTCAATACCGCAGCTTACAAATAGATCAGAATATACATGAGTACGCACTCGCTTATCTGCATACAAAATAAATTGCTAGGAAAACTTAACTTTAACACTGTTCAACGTCTGACAACATACAGCTGACTATTCAATTTAAAATGGCTGAAATGATCATACGATAAAGACCCAATGGTTGACTATGGATTGTGTAGACTCCATTCAGTAGTAGAAAACCACGTTTCAAACAGCATGAAATAAAATATGAAAAAAAGAAATTCTAAACTCACAGTTTTATTTCTGACAATGCATCCACGTACAAATGCTTGAATTTTGATGGCTCTGTGATTTTGCTTTTGCTGATTCTGACATATATATGTGCGTAAAAGAGAAAACCAGTGAAGAGAAAATAAAGGACCTCTGTTGAGTGATTTATAATCTCTACCTCAAAAACGAGACAAAAAATGTAGCAGCATTACGAAAATGGTGCATGTGTTACTTGTTTTCTTTCATAAACATCTAAATAATTTGAATACAAAGTCTTCATGAAGTGAAAATCAATCTAGAGATCACCAAAAATTAGGAACTTTGTCGTAATAGATGTAAAATTAGAAACCATGGGTGGTGGTAAAGAGATTTAAGCCAAAAGCCCGACATTATGTGTTACCTTTACATTACGGTGTACAGTCAGGAGTCAATAACAACATAGAAACCAACAATACTACGTCAAGTTCCAAGCTTCTGCATGTTACGTCCATGTACATGAGGAAATAAATAACAGCTAAATAGAAATCAGGGGTCCTAGTAAACCGTAATAAAGGAAAAGAATATAAAGAAATGAACGGATGAATACATATACATCACTGAGGTCGATTCCGAGTGATATCATCAAAAGGTCTCCAAACATCGATTTCGGCTGTCTATCAGATCACAACATAAAAGTCCACAGGTCAATACACGACTCAGACAAACAGTCTGAGGATTTAACTTCCTAGCCAGAAACCTTCAACCTTTTTTCAACCCAGCTCAACTTCAGCTAACTTTATAGGTGTGAGTAGACAGTGACTAGGCACGTGTGACACACAGCCAGTCGTCTGAGCAGAAGGTTTAAATTTCCAATTAAATTAACTCCTTAAATGAAGATGTATCGCTAAAATTTTACATAACTAAAAAGATGGCTAGTACTACAGAGTAAATCGTTCAAAAACCCGGAATCCAAGAAAACACATACTACTATTTCCCATGACGAAAAGTTCTGAAAAATCGGTATGGTCATAAATGTGTTTATCACATCTAAAACGAAGACAAATCAAAATAAGGCTTGTATGTCTATATATATATATATATATATATATATATATATATATATATATATATATATATATATATATATATATATATATATATATATATATCACTATAACACCTCTGCAAATAACAAGCGCTACCACAAACCGTTTTCTTCTTTTCTTAACAATACACTCACCATGACCGACAGACGAAATCGACGCGGAACTACGAACACAACTACATGCAAGCAACAAGTCGCAGCAAAAAGTGGGACGATCACAATCATTCAATGCTACGCTACGCTACGTACCTACAAATAATGCCGATCAAGAGAAGAAAGAGGAATTCTATCGACAACTGTAATCAACACTGGACAAGATACCACTCCACTTGGCGACATCATAATTCTAATGGGCGACATGAATGCCACATTGGGAGTGGACAACACAGGAAAAGAAGTAACCATGGGTCGAGAAGCACTCGGCGAAGTGATGAACGAGAATGCAGAACCGTTTGCAGATCTCTGTGCATTCAACGATTCGGTGATTGGAGGCACTGTACTCAAACACAAGGATATCCACAAAGCGAGCAACATGGATTTCACCAGACACCAGGACACACTACACTAAAAATCAGATCGACTTCATCTCAATGTGAAGAAAGTGGAGACGCAGTCAGCCTACTCGACACAAGATCAGATCAAGAAGAGTAGCAGATGTAGGTTCACACCACTCACTATCTAGTACAAGGAACCTACCTTGAAAATCAAGTTGAAAGCCTTCAAAGAAGCTGGTGATAGATAGACCACAGTTCAATTTGAACACCCAGAACAGAAACTGCACTGAAGGACGAAACTACAAAGGATATCTTCACATCAGCCACCAAGACAAAATGGGAGACATTGAGCAACATCCCTGAAGAAACCTGTATGGAAGAATACTGGAACTCTTTGAAAGCGATGTGGAAAGAAACCTGCATAACCGTATTAGGAAGGAAGAGGAAACAAGACAAGGAATGGATCTCCACGGACACATGGAAGCTGATAGAGGAGGGAGAGGAGGATGGTGAAGCAGAAGATAAACCGGTAGGCAAGGATGCACAACGAAAAAAAGAACTGAGTACAACCCATCAAACACTACACTGGACAAAGAAGTGACGAAGAGTGCGCGCGAAGACTAAAGACACTTCTACGGCACACTGACAAGTGAAGCAGAACAGGCTGCTGCTGGTAGGAGAGACCTGACAACATTATATCAAATAACCAGGTTATTATCTGGGAGGGAAGAGATCAACACAGACAAAACCAATGAAAGATAGTGAGGGAAACTTAGTTACCAAAGAGGAGAAACACAGGAAACGAATGGCTGACCACTTCAAAAAAACTATTGAATCGACCACCACCTGCAACTCGTCCAGAAATACCACCAGCAACGGCAGAATTACAAGTGAACAGAGGCCCTCCGACAAAAGCAGAAGTCCTGAATGCCATGAAGTTGCTGAAATCTCGGAAAACAGCAGAACCAGATGGAATTCCACCAGAAGTACTGAGAACAGTCTGAGAGACAACAGCGAACATGCTCATACCAGTTTTGCAGAAGATCTGGAAGGAAGGAAAGGTACCTGCCAGTGGATTGGAAGAAGGGCTACCTTGTCAAACTCCCAAAGAAGGGAGACCTAAGTCTTTGCAAGAACTGGTGCGGAATCATGCTGCTGTCCACCCTAAGCAAAATATTATGCCGCATCATCCTAGAGAGATTAAAGGATGCGCTGGATTCTGAATTACGGCCGGAGCAGGCAGGCTGGCTGGATTCAGGAAGAACAAATCATGTGCGGACCGAATTGCAACACTAAGCTACGCATCAACTCTCTACCTCAACTTCATCGACTTTGAAAAGCCCTGGACAGCATCGATCGAGAAGTAATTTGGCAACTGCTTCAACACTACGGAATACCACAAACCTTTATCAACCTCATTCAACAACCATATGCTATATGATGCCACATGCCATGTGATTCACAATGGAAAGCTCAGTGACGCCTTTGAAGTGAAGACAGGAGTAAGACAAGGTTGCCGCCTACTATCACCGATGATCTCCTTGATTGTGGTCGACTCGACTGGATCATGCAATAGACAACTGTGAGGAGCAAGAAGAGGAGCATACGCCAGCTGGACCGGGTAAAGGATCGTAGAAGATTTGGATTTCACCGATGACTTGTGTCTAATGTCGCACAAACTCGAAGATGTACAGGCGAAAACTAACAAGTTGACAGAAGAGGCAGGGCAACGAAGACGTGACTTCCAGTGAACGTAGAGAAGATAGAGGTGATGAAGATATCCGACCAACACCACCACCAAAGCAGGATTGGAGAAGCAAGACAGGCTTTCACTAATCTGAAGTCAGTGTGGAGATCTTCTGCACTCCACTCAGCACAAAGAACAAAATCCGGATTTTCAACACCAACGTCAGGTCAGTGCTTCTATACGGTTCAGAGACTTGGTGCGCTACGAAAAGCATTTCCAACGAACTACAGACACTCATCAACAACTGCATACGCTGGCTCGATACTGAAGATCAGATGGCCAGAAAGAATAAGCAACAAGGAACTCTGGCTGGCTGGCGACGAACCAACCAAGAACGTATTGGCCAACAAATATGCAGAAGAAAGTGGAAATGGATTGGGCATACACTGGGAAGGCCGATTGAGGACATCACGCACCAGGCCATCGAGTGGAATACAAATGGGAAACGACGAGTTGGGCGTCGGTGTCGAGGGTGACATGGAGGAGATGGTGTGAGGAAGAGATGAAAGCTTGTGGACAGTGATGGAGACAGCTTCAGAAGATTGCGCAGAAGTGAGAGTGGAATGGAGACGTGCTACTGAAGCCCTATGTTCCACTAGGAACCCAATGGATAGAAATTAATAATTATAATAGTTATCAGACGTCCAGCTGGAGCTGGAGAACAATAAACTGGTAAAAGCCAGAGATGTTTCACATATTAGCAAGGGCGCTTCAATCAGTTGCTCACCGTAAGACGGGTTCTTAAACGCAGACATACTTACTCGCGATCAAAACTGGCCATATTTTTTGACCTCAAGATTTTACTCATTCGACCGTGAGATGTTGCGGCAATGTCTAACTGTAAAGGGAACATGGAACAAGTATGTATGTAAGTATGTAATCAAGGTTTTCTACTGGAACTCGCACAGCTGCATGAGGGTGTGCGTTGCGCTTTTCGATCTATAGCCAACTCCAACGTGAAGTGTTAGAAAACCGGTAATCTGTTCATATCTCCAACTCTACACAACCATGTCTCACAGCCGTATAATAAGACTGAATGGACTGTAGCGCTGCCTACTCATTCTTCAACAGATAGTAGGATATCTCACTGACGCCAGAGATGACGCAATTTGATGAATGCAGAACGGGACTTCTCCATCCGAGCTGAATTTTGTCAGCAATCAACCAGTTCGGCCTAATGCATTTCATCAAGCAAGTACAATGGTCTATGCATTCCACTACTTCACTCCCTAACCTTCAACTAGTAGTAGTTGCAGACTAGTCTTGAATCATCACTTTAAACTACCGATACGAAACACATCTCAAACATGCTAAGATTTCTGCTGAATGTGTCCAGAAGACTGAATTTTGTCAGCGTAGTTGCCTAGCATGGATATGCATGTTGCGTATGTCAAGTGAATTACGTTACCTCCGGAGAATAAGTCAATCCCCAATACAGCATACCTACATATCCTAAGATGTCAATCTTGGCTACCAAAGCTCATTGGCAAATTTGACAGAGGATGACATTGTAAACTCCAATGTGTAATTAAGAGCACGGTTCCAGTAGACCAAGGGTGCATTTTTTGGACTGAGATCGTTGTCAAGAACTGTGGAGCAAGTAGAAATTAAAGACGATGTAGGATAGTTGACTGAAAGAAGTGAATAAAGATTGGAAGACAGGGATGAGGGAAGTGGAAAGTGATTTAAGCGAGTTTGAGAGTTGACAGAGTTGTGAGGGCGGATGACACTTCCCGAGTGCCTACACTGTGAAAGGCTTGCTCTTCTTGAGGTACCTGAAAAAGAAAGGGATCTATGGCGGGTACCGGGTGTTTTCGTTACTCTAGACGACAACTTTTCCTAAGTCCTTACACGACTGCATGAGTTCTAGTGGACAGCTTTCATTAACATCAAATGAATGTTCGAAATTGACGGCTACTAGTGATTTTCGTTAAGGATGTCTGATGTCACTGTTCCTTATAACTTTGTCATAGACGGATGGACATAACCTTAGGTACGTCTAACCAGAGGGATTGATCCACTCCCCTATCTGGAGATCATCTGATTGGTCTCCAGTACGCAGACGCTTTTGTCCTGGTAGATGAAGAAACTTACAAAAGGCAGTCTTCTGGACGTGTTGAGCAGAAATCTGAGTCTTTTTGGTATACATTTCGTTGGTACCTTTTAAATGTAAGAAGATGCTCCAAGACTGGTCTGCAACTGCACTCACTTTAAAGATAGGGAGTGAAGTTGTGGGATATGTTGACCACTTCACTTACATGGGGAGTTGCATCAGCCCACCAAGCGGGCTGGTTGCTGACGAAATATCAACTTGTATACAGAAGGCTCGTTTGTCATTTGCCAACTTGTGTCAGCTGTGACGCCGACTGGCGAGATATTCGACTATCTATCAAAGGACGACTATAGAGCGCTGAAGTCTTTGTCCTGTCATATGGCTATGAGATAGCTGTCAGAAGTAGAAGAGATGAAGCGGTTACTGGGTTTTGATCACAGATGTCTTCATAGTATTGCTCGCGTTTGGAGGAATCAACGTGTGACCAATGTCGACGTCAGGCGAAGGGTACTAGGTAAGACAGCCAACTCGATTGATGAGTTTGTTAACCTTAGTCGACTAAGATGGCTTGGACATGTGTTGCAAATACCGAACCACCACCTATCACGACGTGGCATGCTACAGGAAGTTGGATTAGGTTGGAAGACGAGTCAGGCTGGCAGCACCAAGATCTGGCACCAGTCAAATAAATCTCTTACTGTTAGTCTGAGTGTGTGGTGAGATGTAGATTGCCTGGTTGGGGTCCTAGAGACGAAGGGAACCTGTGATTGAGGAATTTCGGTGACATGGCTGAAAACAGGTCACAATGGTGCAGATGTATTCACTTCTTGACATCCTTTGAAGCTTGAATATCCGCACTAACCCTTATCAGCAAACTGTTTATATATTTACAAAACTTTGTCTACTTAGATATCACTCTTGTTCTAATCACCTTTTCTTTGTGTGCTACTGTAAATTGTGATAACTCCAGCCAATGCACTCGTATGCGAGGTTTTACGGTGATTTTATGTCTATCTGTTAGTCTATATTCAGTACTTCCTTCATAATCGGATACAGCCACGCACCTCCTGGTCGACAGAGTTGAATGTCACTTTTAAGTTAAGAAATATGATAAGTTTTATGAATATAAGTTCAGAAGCTGGGGACTATGGTACAATGCAATTCCATATGAGATTTATTTATTTCATTTGGACCACAGTGATACAGTATTTTTACTTGATGACGCTGCCAGCATAAATTATTGCTAATAATCCTTTCAAAGTAATCACATAACTTTCGATATCTGATTTTAATAGTAGAGGTGCTGCATCATTCCCGTTACATGTGCTGGCTCGATGAACCTAGATTCGGTAACGAATCTCTCGTTCGCCACTTATGTAGCATTTAAGCACCATTTAAAACTTGGAAGCAATATACAGTAATGTCGTCCAAGATTAGGACCCCTCAGTAGTGCTGTTAGGTTCTCAACGTTTCTTCGGCTCATGTCAATCCACAATGAAAACTAACTCGAAGTCATTTAGTGGACCATAACTTGCGCCCCACCACCTTTGTTAACAACTGAATTTTTCATTAGTCACATAAAATCTGCATATATAACAAGGTATATTCTTCAAAAGGATACTGAGGCACAGATGCACATCATCAGGTTAGTCAGTTTAACTAACATAAAAACATAGTTCACTGTGTAAGATGACCAAAAGCAGTATCCCAAGTTTTAAAATGCTTACCTCCCTTATTCTTCGTTCTTCACGAGTTTTTCGAACAATCTCATGAGCTGACAGCTAAAACAATGTACAAAAAATAGAAAATTGTTCATAATATAACCATACCAAAAGACGAAAACCCTCAAAAATACAACAATTACGTAGGCCTTTGCGTTTACGAAGGTCAATGTGTATGAAGATGGAAAAACATGGTAACAACAAATATCATTATTTATCCCCATTATATGCAGTTCTGGTAGTGAAGAACCCCCATTCTGTTGGTAATTATGACACCTAGTTACCTATTTACTTACTTGTTCGTATGGATGAACAGATGTTATGGGATTTGAACAAATGTTATAAAATTAATACAGCTGAAAATCACATACACTGACTTTTAGGACCCCAACTATCATTTTACGCTGACTAACTGACCTCTTGCAAGGGTTGTGTTTGAACCTGTGCTTTAATTATTATGGTTTAGACAGTCAGGCAGAATCACTATCTGCCAGACAGTAAAATGGGACTCACTATGCAGTCTACAAGCCTACACATGGTTTTGAGCGGTTTACACGCTTACTCCTCACAGAGTTGTGATCTCAGGAGGTAACTATTAATCAGTGGATTACCGGCTTGAACCCCGCTTCACCTACAGAGGTGTGGACAGCTAGGTAGCATTATTAGCAACAGGTGAGGGTCACTTCCTGTTTCATGAAAAAAAACCTCGTTGCTGTAACGGTTTAGTTTTTCCCAGACTTAGTTATACATATCTCTTTTACAGGCACCTTCACTGAATACCTCGAATACCCATCGTAATCCATAAACATGGTAAATCCCATTGGCTAAGTTTGATAAGGTGCAGGTGCTCAGTGCGATAAGGATAGAGCTTCGGCTATAGCAGGAACAATAACCCCTTTGAAAGTACCCATTTTGTGAATTGGAACAATGAACAATAGATACTGATTTGAAGAGGATAACCCCGTTTTTTGCCTAGGATTGAATAAGAATCGGCTTAGTGTTTTCAAGAATAAATCACTGGTTTGTTTTTGCGAAACATTATTTTTAGAGTCCTGCTTCTTTTCTCGAATTTAGCAACTGGTAGTGCCTTTGTCTTAATTTCTGCCACTCTATTTACGGTTGTTACTGAACACATACATGGTAAGTGGCTTTTAAAAATTACCCTGCTAATTTTCGTGAATAAAAGTTTTCATACACCAAAAACTTGGATAAAGTTGCTAAACCCGAATAAATGTTTTCAATCTATTTTTGAACTACTGAACCTCAACTCATGTTTCCACGTTGGGCTAAGAATCACTTCAGATTACACCGAAATGGGTATCGAAGTAATAATTTCAATCATGTCGAACCGGTTATCGACTAAATACCATGTGACAGCATGTTGTGAAGTCAATTTCCAGGCAAAGCAAGTCAACTCTGTCAGTTAATGCATCAGGGGATAAGAGAAATTAGTGGTTTGGGGGCGGCTAAGGATACTACCCAGCTGCCCAGATAGAAAGTGGAGTGCGACTTGAGGCCAGAAACTACTACCTGGGAACCCAGTGCATAACTAAACAGTCAAATCTTCACACTCAAATAGCCTGTACAATGTTAGAAGTTGGATTGTTGGTCTGTCTGACTTAAAGGTGACGTTATGTAGAAATCAATACCTGCTTACTTTATCAAATATCAATTCAGTGGCTTGAACCAAAAACTGAGTAATACGCGAAGGTTAGGAGAAGGAAAATCAACAGCACAATTTTTACTTTTCAAAATGCAACCACGGTAGCGGTGATCAGAATTGTATCTCCTTTTACTTCAATTAGATAGTTCTTCATTTTACTCGCCCAAAGACCTTAACTCACTGAGCTGGCCCGTCTTATGAATGTCATTTTCTTGCATGTTACGAAACCTGATGATCAGTATAAGTTGTTTCTTTTCTGATGTTTTTGACACCTTCTTGAACCTAATATTTTATATAATGGAATCCACCTAGCAACCTTGTGCATATTCGTACAGCAAGCAATGAGCCACACTTATTGTGCAAGGGCTAGTGATACTAAGTGACTTCCCAAACCTCTGTAGGTGGAGCGGTGTTTGAACTCGCAACCTACTTGGTTGAAAGTCAACTCCCTAAACCAATGAGTCACAATACCATATTTCACAACATACGAATTAGCAGTGACTTTGATGCATAATTTATGAGTTTCCTGATATTTCGGTGTTTCTGATTTTCAAAGTTTACAAATAAACAATTACCTTTCGAGTTCGATCATACGTCACTGGTCGACTAGTTTTGTGATGCCCTTCAAATGAGAACATCTCTAAAGTTCAAATTTATTATTTGATCGCGGCCTTATTCACTTGGAATACACCAGAATAACTTTGATGCACTACTCCTTGTTGTTGTATTTCTGAAAAGTTAGATAAAAAGGTGGGGAGTATATAAATTGATGTATTGGTGAAACTTAATTAGATTCATAGAGGACAGACACGTACAGTTGAAAAGTCTAATTTTTAGCTTATTTTCAGATTAAAGTCAACACAGCTGCAAAATAAGACCATAAACTGTTATCGAATCAAAGTTAAGACCGACTCAGCAATCTTGTGCGCATTCTTAAAACAGGCAATGGGCCACACCTATTTGGTAGTGAGGGCTAATGATACTATCTAGTTGCCTGAACCTCGGTAGGTAGAGTTCGAACGCGTGACCATCCCAGTTAAAAGTCCAGGGAATACACCAATGAGCCAAACCCTTTATAGTCCAAACTGAATAAAAGAGAAGGCATGTTAGTTATTTGGTTGAAATGATGAAAGGTGATCAAGTGATAAATGTTCCCGTAATGGCAATCATGTAAACAGAGGATACAAACGGACTATAAGATATGAGATAGCTAACAGCAAAATGCGATAAATATAAACTACTAAAAGAGAAAATCAGCATGATTTGAACTTGTGTTACACAGCACTGATGACCAAAACAATAACTAGAAATCATCAACTCATCAAATAGTTTATTTACCTATTAATCTAGTTTCCAACCAATTAGTGAGGAAGAGTTCAATTTCCCTTCCATAGAGGAGTATTGAATTACTTCCGAAAAGCACTCCTAGGTCGCTGGCATGACCTACAAGGAATCACGATGCAGACATATTCAGTCTTTACCATCTTCAATATCATGTTTTCACTTTCCCCATTATTCATTTTTATATTACTTTGTTCGTTTTATGTTTTCCGTTGTACTGTGGTAAGGGATGACGATTCAAGCTAAATACTTTTTTGAAAGTTGCAGCAATGGATCAGCACATCCCTATTAAGCTGGTTTCGAAAATAAGTGGATATGAATACGTGCAGGGTACATAGAGGCATATACCGAGAGTAATCCTCGTCAAAGAAAGTAAGGCTAGAACATGGTTTACGTTCTATTAAGTCGATGAAAAAGAATGTTGCTTATCAAAGGATGACTAATTGAAAGAAGCAGATTACGTGATCAAAAAAAACTTGATAGTGAAATGCACATTCCCATAAAATGCATAGATAATAATTTACATATGCAGATACTAAGATTTCAAACTACTCAACAGCTCAGTGTAATCCAGAAAAAACTACATTCGCCATGACACTTTATTAGTTCTCTACACTTATAAAAGCTGAATTCTGTAAGATTTGACCAGCCTAAAATCTCTGGTTAATTTTACAATACAGCACGCATCAGAGAGTATAAGAATACGTCGTTTCCGAGTCTATTCGTACACCGATACTAGTTCGACCGATAGCTACTATCCTGATGTGGTGGTCGGGCTTGCATATCACAATGACCCAAAGAGCTACACTGACTAGAAAGCTTGTTCCCTTGAGGTCCTAAAATCCCAGGAAGGTGTAGTGAATTGTGGTAAGTCAAAAAGCAGTTACCAGTATAGTGTAAATTACTACACTATGATACATTACGACTACCAACATCCCAACCCTATACAACATCAGACAAGAGACACAGCTCGTCAGAACACTTGAATCTCTAGCCAAGGATGTATAGTTGTTACGACTCAATCAAAAAACAGATGGTTTTTTGACCAGTATTTACTTGAGAAGTAGACTTTCCACCGGATAAACTAACGGTTCATCCACACTAGCAAATATGCTGGAGCTGGTCATTGAATCTCCAGACAAATGAAGTGAAGACTAAAGGTTTTTTTGCACTGACGAGTTAAGGTCAAATGAATAACCACTTAAGTTCCATATACGTGTTTGAGAAATACACCATAGATCATTGGATAGAGATCCCAGTATTCTAACGGGTTGTCTCTTGTCTGATGTCGTATAGGGTTTGGATGTTGATAGTCGTAGTGTTAATTCTCTGGCAGGGTTGTGGGAGACTGAGAATAGTGTTTCGATGGGTTTGATCGTTGGCAATGGTTGCAAAGTGAGATGTTGGATAAGGTATAAGAGGCCAAATATTAGTATCAAGAGGTGAAGGCAAAGGAGGAGGTAGAGTTGAAGAGGAAAGGTTACGTTTTATTGGGTCTTGTGTACTATTGAAAGCGTGCAGGCGGTTGAAGCTTACCGGTCGCCCACATCTTGGAAGTGTATTTCTTGTTAAGATGTCTGAAAGAGAAAAAGATTTGTGTGACCTCAGGTCCCACGAAATATCTGCTTGAGGCCTGTTACACACAGCCTTTCGTGGGATCTCGCCGGCTAGAGAGGACCCATATCGCCGGCATCGGAAGACCTTGGGCAGGTGGTGTTATTTTTGGGGCCGACCTTTTGTAGCCTCCCACTTCCCCTTGGGAAGACAGCATCAGCATGGCACTGCCGGTCATCCAAGCGAAACACCTTACTGCTATAACACCCTATCCAGCAAGCAGCAGAACGACTTCTCCTTAAACCCTATCATAGTGTAGTAATTTACACTATACCAGTAACTGCTTTTGACTTACCACAATCCAACACACCTTCCTGGGATGGTAGGACCTAGAGGGAACAAGCGTTCCATTCAATACAGGTCATTGGGTCATTGTGATATGCAAGCCCGACCACCACTAACTGTGCGATGCAGGAGTGAAGGCACTACACTTTGTTAGCCCCCTTATAAGAGATCACACCGTATATCTTTATGACATGAATATGCAGTCTAGCTACTCGGATTCATGAGACGACCTCAATAGTACAACGGCACCTGGAGCAACATTTGCAAAGGACATAAAGTCTAAAGAGCTCTCAAAGTATATCCAAAAACATTTACCAAGACCATTTATATAAATATATATTACGTAAAAGCTAACTATCCTTTGGGGGGAGGGGGGGAGTAAACAGTTGGTATAACAAGTATAAAAAAAGAATTCCTTTTTGGATACGACGGTAGTATACTACAACCTGAGGATAATGAATAGAGCAGTAAACTTCACAGTAGTTCACGTTGACCATCCCAGTCTGGTAATAAAGGGAAATGAAGTGATGGAAATGCAAAACAAAGAGGAATTGATGGGGATGACGCGACTTTGTAGGGTAAATTAGACAAGTGAGGGGAAATAAAGCGACTTCGAGAGGGAAAATAGACACGGTTGATTGATGAAGGCGAACTCAAGGGAGGAAAGATAACCGAGAGGAAAAGGTGCGGAAAGGGTAGATCACTTGTATTTCTCCTTCATACGCTTTTTCCCTTGATGAGACTCTTCTACCGTCAGTTTTGATCCATAATGACCTAGGAGTCACAGTGAGTTATGACTTGATAACCACGGCTCATTGTCAGTTGGTAGCAGCTGGGAGTCTTAGGACTCTATGAGCATTACGTAGAATGTCTACGAAAATAAGCAGTGACATGTTGACCATCTTATACACATCCTTAGTTAGGTCTAAATGAGAAAACTGTACACAAGTGGCTAATCCGTGGCAGAAAGGTGACGCAGACCTTCTAGAAAGAGTTCAGAAGGCAGTTACTCGTATGATCCTGCAATAGCTGGCCTCACCTAAAGAGACCAACTTAAGGAGCTGAACCTCTTCACTTTGTCCTATAGCAGACAGAGGGGAGATCTAAGCATTCTATACAGGATTCTAAGAAATAACTTCGGACCTGATCTATTCTTTTCCCTTCCAATAGGTTGGAATGCCTCAGAGGACATAGTAGGAGACTACAAAAGCAAAGAACAAACATAGTCTCCGCATAGTACTGGTTCTCGCATCGAGTATACCCGATGAGTATACTCAACATCTGGAACCGACTCCAGAAGAAATGGTGTCCGTATTATCAATTGATTCGTTCAAAAGGGGATTGTAAAAGCACAAAAATCTACTGGAAGAGGATTAATATAGGCCCCAGTCTCCTATCCTCAAACAACAAATCTGAATCTTTATCATCTGTTTGAGATACCTTGCAAACTTCCACAGCTAAATACTTCAGAAAACCTAAACACTACTGCTATTCCGCTTACGCATAATGTTACTTGCTTGAATATGTTTATAATGAATAATTATGCAACTCACTTGAAAACTAACAACGATGAGTGATACTCTAGCCTCGAAAACCACTAAGCGGAACTGACCACCGACCTTCTCAGAAATCGACCCTGTAAAGTAGTACACTAAAAAATGTCACAAGTAGTCCAAATGGTTATTGGCGGAATAGAAGAAGCTTTGGTTTGACTAGCCCCTTTACATAGAATTAATGGATTGCACGTGCTTTGAAAACAGGATATGGATTTTCCCAAGTACTTATATTTCGTCTTTTGTTGTGTAAACCACATCTAAAGCTTTATTATAAACCTAGACTTGAAGTAATTCAGTCATCGTTTTAATTTTTATCATTTTTAGGCTTCTTCTTGGTATTCGTGCTAAGGCTTTTATTGTTTTATCGTAACTTCAGCCTTTCTGACCAGGTTCTGATTCAATACTTAAGTTTAAAATTGGTTCTGGTCGTAAATTTAACTGAATTGTGCATGATATGGTTAGCGATGATCATGTTTGTGGCCGACTTTGCTGCAAATTCTCAGTCAGCAAAGGTGTGCAATCTGGCATACGTATATGTTGGTTCCACTAAGCCTGTACTGGACTGACACCAACCGCATTCTAGCGTTGCAGTAAACCAACTTCTCCCTGGCTATGTAACTCCTGATGTAAGCCTTTGTCAGCCACAATTCAAGAATCTATCGAAATGCTATCAACAAAAACACACTCCTATGATAGTGATAGCTGCGGGTCCAATGAGATATCAGATGATGATGCTGTTGGTCTTATTGCCGATACATCTGTCGTGAGACTTAAAGATGGACTCCAGCATGCTAGCAATCTAATAGATGAGGCTACATCAGTTCCGACGGATGACTGACGTAACAGGAAACCGAAGGTGACTGGAACACCAGCGAAGCCCAGTGGTTCACCGATTGATAGTGTCGACACCACGAAGGCGATCAGTAAATTAGATTGGATTTCTCTAAGAAGCAATTCGAAGGAACCTTCAAAGGTTATAAGTGAAGCCACTAAGGTTATGAGACCTGTTGAGGGAGGCTCGAAGGCCATCAACACGCGGTCCAAGGATTACCTGCCAACCTTCAGTGATGATCTTCAGGAATGTAGAGGAGTCGGTGGGCAAAGACCCTGTAGCCTCACACATTTCTCCAGAATCAGTAGCCTGGGATTCGATGAGATTCAACATTGAGGCCAACCCTAACAGTTTGTAGCGTCACACACTTCCCCAAAATCAATGGCTTAGGGTTTGAAGACTTTCGACATTGATGCTGACCTTGATAGTCTAACTGGACTCGCTAAGCTGAAGGCACCCGGTAAGGCATGCTCGTCATTTGGCACGCTGTCGTGTCACCTTGCACTGCTCGTATTCGACTCTCTAGCTAGTTAGTTGGAATGCATCGGTATTTTGGCACAAACATCCAAATATACTATTCCGTCCGACTACGCTATCGTGTTCTTCCTTGGCCTCGTACTCGTGGGTATATGACAAGTCCGAATAATTAGTGATTGGTCTTTGCGTCTGTCAAATTCTCAACAGGACAAATCCTAAAAGTTTAACTGAACTCGCCAAACTGAAGACATCCGGTCAAGTATCCTCGCAATTTGGCACTGCTCGTAATCGACTCTCCAGCCAGCTGGTCGAAATGCATAGGTACCTTGGTACGACCTAGCAAATATACTATTCCATTTGGCTACGCTGTTGTGTTCTCTCGTGGTTTCGTATTCACCGGTATATTACAAGTTCGAATGATTAATGATTTGCCTCTGCGTCTGTCAGGTTCACACCAGAACACTTCCTAAAATCCTTCAACACGTCATACGCAAGATCTGAGGCTATTTGAGCCCGCCATCTGACAAATGCCACCTGAAACGGCCACAGGAGTACATATCTCGAATGAAGTCGGATTGGGTAAGAAAGGATAACAATCGTGATGAGAGGATGGTGGTAAAAGAAAAAGTGGATAAACTCTTGAGTGACACATCCGATTTAAGAAACAGGGACAGCCGCACCCGACCTGACTGGCCTGCTTAGGACCGGATAAAAAGAAGAAGGACGGTCTCCAAGTTCAAGGCTCAGCAGAATGATGGAGAAAACAATCCTAAAATCGTGGGTTTTCCAGTCGTGAGGACCTGGGAATGAATGGTTCCGAGACCTGCATGTATGGGTCATGGAAGTCTTCGAGCACTGTGAACGTAAGCTACACCAATGTTCTCAGCATCAGAAATAAAACGACAGGCCTCAAGACCACTCTATGTACTAGGTTTTGATGTAGTGGCCCCTACCGAAATCTGGTTAGTTGAGTATTGAGATTGTATACCACTCCTAACAGGTATTACTGTGTTATGAAGGATATAGTTGTAGGCGGCGAGGGCGGCGCCATACTGATCAATGTCCATGGTGATGTCCATATACGACCAGCCACTTCAAAAGTACATGAGTGCGGTATCCGCGAGGTGGCCAGTTGTGAGCTGAAATCAAAGCAGGGTTTCCGTACCACTGGGGTAATTTGCCGTAGCCCAACACGCCTTGCAAATGACTGCTTACCAACTCACTGAGTAACCGGAGTAGAGGTAATAGATCCTTGATAGTGGGCGATCTGGGCGTTCCATAAATGAACTGGGTGGAGCTTATGGCTGTATTTTCGGGTAGTTGCTTCGAAATGGAACTTCTTTTCATGGTATTAGAATTTGCTTTACATCAAAAAGTAACTTGTCCAAACATGATGTGATTCCGAACACAAGTTGCCACTATTAGGCTTAGTTTTGACCCGACAATGTGAAAATATTATGGATCTGCTATGCTTCCCTGCGTCAGCTAACAGCGATCATGTAGTGCCAATTTTTGGCTTTGAACGTATGAGTCTAAATACGACACTGCTTACTCTAGACCTGATGTGTGGCCCACAGACATTTCAGGTATGACGGATTGTGCAATCCGTAAAGACTAGACCATTGACAGGGACTCGTTGATAAAGAACCCATAAGACAGGTTCATAAATTCTACATGAAGAGGTAAAGATACCAATTATTTTATGGTAGACTCCACAGAGATCCCACCATTGCCTTCCGTGGTTTAATAGGGACACCCAGAAACCGTCAGGACAAAGAAAACGCTTACGAAGCTTATTTATAGAAGCTGAACATTTTGAACTGGGTACTGTAAATTTCGTAATCTGCGTAAAACTTCGACTACACCGTCTTGAGCGTCCTACGAGAAACAGCTTAAAAAAAGTTGCCAAAACCGTCCTGAAAGGTCCCCCACACCCATCAGAAGAAGGACCAGAACAAATTGTGGAATTCTGTTTCTGTTGACGGACGTAAATTTTGATAGTCTAGTGGAATCTGTCGGAATTCTTAAGTGGAGTCTTCTATGTAGATCCTGATGTTTAAGTGCTCACTAGTGGTGTCAGCACTGTCCTACGAGTGGGCACAGTGTTCATAAGAAAGGAAACTGTCTTCCAGTAGCCCTTTAATCTTAAACCTGACAAATCCCCGGATCCCGATGAATTGCATGCCGGCTTGCTATCTTTGATAGCGGACATCACCGCCAAGCCATTTACTGACCTTCTGAACGGACCAACATCTCAAAATCACCTCTCTGGAGACTGGAGAGGTGTTGTAGTCATCCCAGTCTTGAAGGCCCGTAGCCGCCAGTTGGTGGCTTACTATCGCTCGGTGAGTCTAACTGGTATGGCTGTTAAGGCTTTAGAAAAACATCGCGTGTTGAGTAGTCGTCTTTCGGCAACAAAGCAACAGTTTTCGTAATAAAGACTCCTGTTTAGCAAGTCGCCCCATGGCGAAAGAGGAGTGGTTTGTAACCGCAGTTGCTTTCTACCAATATATACTGCGTTTATGGATTTCGGCGGATCATTCGACAAAGTCTACCATGTAAAATTGCTAGGAAAGCTCTTCTCTTTCGGGTTCTGCGCTGCACTGTAGCCTGGATTACGGACTTTCTGAACAACGGGCTGTAAAGTCTGGGGGTTGGTGGGACTGTCCGGGTGTAAACCCTTGATGAGTGGAGCCCGTCAAGGAACAATCCTAGGTCCACTGTTTTCCTTGTCGTATGTCAGCAAGTTACCGTAAGTGCTCAATCCTTCTATGCAGCTATTCACCGATGATATGAATGTTGGGAGGGTCAGACGAAGTGATGCTGACGGGTATGCACTTTAAGGGGATTCGGATGAACAGGTAGGTTGGTTCAGATTTTAATGCCCGGAAAGTGACTCTTGTAGAAATAGGATAGTGCACGGTAGTCACAACAATTCTTTCCTGCATTCCATTGGTAATAATGCTACCACTGTCTGTCTTTGAACCGGAATGTTTTGGTGTCATCATAGGCTCTGATTTGAAAACTTTGGTACGCTGTAGTGCATCAGCAGCAAAAGGCTTCCATGTATCATGGTCTATCTACACAGCTATCGTAGGTCTTTATCAGGATGTGTACATGCCACTCTATTCTACTTACGGTAGACCCCAATGACAACACCACATTCGGGTGTTCAGTTCATGGCCAAAAAGGCTGCCAACGTACTCAAACGTGTTTAAAGGATAGGTACTAAGCTTAATATCATCAGTGATATATCCATCGAAAATCACATGAAGTCATTCCTACTTAAGTACTCCTGATACGTCATCCGATTCTTCAGGAAAAAAGTCTGGTTTCCGGTTTCGCCTTTTCATATTTTGCCATGTGACTCGCATCTCGTTTTTTCCAATGTCTGTTTCACTTACGAAAACTAGCCGTTGAATTCTTACCTGGATGTGTTAGTTGGAACGTCCTGGACACCATATATTTTGTAACAGGATTGCGACGCGGTCTTCTTTCTATCGTCAGTCAAATTCCATACCAGTCTTGAGGCATTGTGAAATGGTACTGACATCCCTATTTGGACGCTAAGGCGAACACTGGCAGGTTGAACACTTGTGCAGTGACCAGACAAACTCTGTTCGTATTGGCTAAAAGTAGTCCCCTGTATCCTATTGTTACAACTTACAGTACACCCAGTATCTTTAATGAATATAGAAGGACTTGATCGTACCCATTAACATTTCCAGTCAATATGACTGTAACGGAGAGTGCCACAGTCATGGCTCGTGACTTCTTTCTTTTTGAAATTTGGATGAAATATTATTGTGATGATCTCTGTGTTGTCTTGAATCCTTTGGTCACCTTAACCTAAAATTTTGTTCACATCTAAACACATTGCTTTCCATTTAGGCATCGAGCCAATTATTTCAAATTATGGGATCAGTAGCATCGAAATCCAAGTGGTATAAATGTAGGATGGCGCCAGCGAGCCGGCATTTACTTGCGTTTGCCGGAACGAATGTAGTCTAACTTGAAACCGGAAAATATTACGACGGATTTTCCGGATTGTCAGGCAAGCCGAAATGGCTCAGGAGCGTTTTCACGGGATTTCAGGCTTCTTAGAAAGATCCAAGTCTAGTTCTTTGCACCATTACGACCTGCTTCTGATTCCCTGATTGTATTATGCCACGTCTAATGGCTTCGCTGGTGTCATGTCTTGACCATTTTCCATATTGGAACCTTAAACCTGTATTCCGACTTCATGGTCTGAGAATCTAAAACCTTGCTAGAAAGTGTTTGGAATAATGTGAGAACTGCCATCATTATCTTCTCGGCTATTGTTTGCTTTGGGAACAAATCTGGTATCTATTTCGCTGACGCACTCCATGCAAAGTGTTTTAATGACAAAAAGCTCACAGCTAACCCACGGTTTAGGGCTTGTGATTCATCACTTTATCGCCGTTATGTATTCACGCGGTATCGCACTTCACATAAATGCCTAGGTTTCGATTATGCGCTTCACTCGGGTGGTTGATTAGTAATTGAACAGCCACGCGATGGTTCTCGTTTCAGATTTCCGAAGGAAAGTTCTCACCCAGCCCGGGATGAATAAAAAGTCAGTACCACCTTGATCGTTACCGTATCTATGTGCAAGTACTTGTGGCTGTGGACAGATGAACGACCCACTGACAAAGTTAAAAATACTCAAAATAGCAGAATATTTATTGGCTTTCGCTTGAGAATTATTTTGGGAAAGCGCTTACTACTTATTTGGACGCATGACTGGACCCTCAACTCTTTGAATGTACCTGTTACTCGGTGAAAAGCCAATGCGAAATAGTGTTGGCAGGTGGGCAGCTGTCTACATGTTGAGAAAAACAGTAAGACTGTGGGCGCTTACTGAAGCCTGAGCAGACTATCTAGCTAGTATTTGAAAATCTTAAGAACGTGCCTGGTGGCTTCAACTACGTGCTATCAAGATGCTTAGAAGCCGCCCTACAGTTTAATTCCCAGTGAACCAACTGAATGAATAGTTTGGTAAACAAACGTGCACAACTCCATCTCTCTCTATGTATACACGCAGTGTTTTCAGTCCCAAATACAGCACTTAACAGGAAATTCTTGGTTGTCTTGTGACGAAGAAAATAATTCCCGTTTGGTGTCAAAAAGTGCAGCAAAATACTTTTTCAGTGTTACGGGTGGCCTTGGTCGCATTCCGAAAATAATCATTTTTGCAATGCATCCTTGTTTCCGTGAGATCTGAACAATAGGAGAAACTGTGGTTAGGGCACTAAAACAAAGTCTATATTGCTTCCGATTATGCCTAATTGAATCCCTTTAGAGTCGTTCTACTCAATTCATGCCAGCCAGCTGAAACCCCGCTTTTTGTGGCGTTAGAATGCACTAACTACCAGCTTTTAACGACAACGATTCCAACCTACTTAATGCTTTTTGAACAGTTTCTTGCAGCGGAGATTATTTGTTTTATCGCTGTTTTGTACCCGAATTGTAATGCCGTCGTAAGTGACTGAACAAGCTGTTCACATAATATTGCAATATTCTACATGTGCAGAGAACGTTCATTTATGATCACACGTCACCTTTCATCCATTTTTCTGTTATCTTGCCTTCACCACGCCGATTAGTTACCTCTCAGGCTGTAGGAATGTACCTGATAAATCATAGAATCCTAGGATGCATCTTTTACATCTGTATAAACCAAGATGAATTTACATATTTTTGAAGACAAAATACATATTTCTTGTGAAGTAAGTCTGTTCCGCTTAGACACGCAGCATGTGGGAACACTTTATGTTTTTGGATATCTGTTCGCAGTCTTAAGTGGTCAGGTCAAGTTTTGTTTCTTGTTTGACCTGCAAAACCGAAATGAATTGACTACCTTAGAAGCCATCATCAACGTTTGTGTGTACTCCGTGTCATTTTGAACGACCAAATGGGTAGCAATGCCGTAATGATATCTGTAATTTCCCGTTACTATACGGGTCCGAATAGATCGGCCTCTGTTGGCAGATGGGCTCCTATGCAGATGCCTCAATACTGTTGAACATTCATGGTGTTATATCAATCTTGGTGACTGGAAAAGGAGGTGAGGACGTGCGTTTCGTCCTATCTGGGACTCTTTAGGTAGGTATAACTGTGTCGCAGCCGGTGATGTTGTTCCCCTAGAGGGGTCCGAAAGGAATGGCACGAAGGCCTGTATGGATGGAAGGGAAACTGATCAATCTGGCTTTATGGTTATATGCACAAACGCTTATGGCCTCCAGAATAAATATGCCGGGCTGAGTAACATAACAGGCTTAGAAAGGCTAGACATAGCCGCTATCTGAAGAGTGTGTTTCTTTTATGACACGCTGTTGAAGTAAAGCCGTAGGCATTCCTTCCCACTAGAAAGCACAGATGAGCTTGTTGATGTGAGAGTCATCCTTAATGTGAAGAGTACATTGTCCGCATGAACAATAAAAATGGTCCCACATAAATACGATGAGCAGAGTGCCACGTTACCAACGGAATACAGCGGGGAAGATAACACCTTAATCAAGGTATATTCCTTAGTTAAACCAGATGTACGGTTACAACCTCAACTTATTGTTCCATGAGCTGTCTCAAAAAGACTGAGATACTGTCTTCTGTGAACAGATGCTAAGATTCATAGTCTAGTACTATGGAAAAAGCGCTTGAGTTGTTTCTAGCCTAAATGCTTTCAAAGCGAAGAATCAGTACAGAGCACTTTTGGAAAAGCGTATTATCGCAATTCGCCATTTAATAATATGCTTTGAAACCCTTGTCGATGGCTGATCGAAAAAACCGTTCTCCTGAATGAACTAACCGAGTAAAATATCATTCTGATGCCGATCCACAAAGCAGGGTCTGGGCAGCACTCATCAAATTATAGACTGATATGTTCCCCTGGCAACGTAGTTGAGATTTTGACAAACAAGCCACTACTGCTAACCTGAGGTAGAACACCTCATAGTTGCGTTCGCAGCACAAACAATCAAGGGGCTTCTTTTGTTAGATAAACCCTCACAGAACAAGCTGAAGTTGGTTGAAGTCTAAGGACCAGAGAAAGACTGTAGATATCTTATCGTAGACAGCAGTGAGACAGTGTTCCGGATACCAGCCACTGTACGAAATTAGAAAGTTTAGGGATCACTGGTGATCCAGCCGCATTGATTGAAGAGTTGCTGTGTTGATAAAGAAAGATGAATGGGGACCACCTCACAAGCCTGCATGTGAAAGCTGGTGCAGCCGTGAGCATCACAAGACAGCATTAGGTCCTTTGTCATTTCTCCTATACATAAACAAACCACAGAACATCATAACATCTCCACTGATTCTCTACGTCGTTGGTATCAGACTCTGGGGAGACTAAACGGACAACGGTGATATACACAACTGTAGTTTTTTAGCTGGCCTCAGACATAAATGATGCCTAATAATATGGTATGGGTAATAACGAGAACGATTTTAATGAGACTTCTCTATCCTCATCGCATACCCAAAAGAGTTGGTGGTCAATGTAAGACATGGTTTCAGAGGTGCAACGCACTGTCGATCATCTTCAGTCGAGGTACTCAAGACACCTTAGACAGTACGTAGACCCCATTCCAGGACTAGTGGTGGCTACTCGCTACTTTGTTTACAATCGTAGGTCGAGACAATACATTTGTGCGCTACTGTCAAGCCCATGTTTGAAAGCGGAGTCACATATTCTGAACAGAGTACACGGGATTGCGGTTGTGCATGACTACAGGGATGTCTAGTTTGATGTACGAAGAATGATTCCTTAACCTAAAGAATTTCCCTTCATTGTGTCGTAGAGACTGCATCACAAAGTGCAAAAGTTTAAGATATAGCTTCAGGTCCGTTCTATAACTTACTTCTCGTTTTAATTATAAGGCACAAGAGATGACCGAAGAGTACACAAGCCAGAGATAAACATCGTCTCAGTGAAGTACTGGTTCATATACCGGCAGCGTATCTTGGAATCAAATGCTGGGAGGAGTGATGTTCGAATTATTCATCGACTCATTCAAGAGAGGACTGGAAAAATAGATTCATTTGAAATGGGTTAACAGACAGCCTAGTTTCCTCAAATACTGAATCTTAAACATGGTAAAACAAGTAGCTGAGAAGTATGGTTGCATCACGAGAGCAAAATACCGGTGTAAATACAGGGTTCCCTCCTTTCCTCACTTTGATCCACTCTATCTATATTCAGGAATTCATAATGCCAGAAGTCACAAGAAGACATTTTATTATGACTTTCCCATTCATTCAACCTAAGAAGCGAACTAATTTGGCGGGGGACTGACTAGTGGTATCCTCAAAGTTAAACGCAGGTAAGTAGATAAGGTTTTTATGTTCGTAGAAAGGACAAAGCAGCACAAGAAGACCAAGCCAACGCGAAACTAAATTTCAAAAACCAGCCGTCTCCCCTCCACATATGATGTTAATATATAAGCAATTTTCCTACAGATGATGATTTGCAGACAAAATCTCTAGTTCTATTCGGAGTTTGCATACTATTCCTAATGGATACTGAGCATTGAAGATAAATTTAAACACCTGTGGAAGAGTAAAGATATTGACTTTGGAGCAGTATTCGGATGTCTATGGATGCAAGGTCAAAGCTAGTTCGAGCTTTTCAGGAATTCGGAGGCCGTGTTTCCAGTGAACAGCTCTTGAAATTCATCAAAGACGATGAAGCGCTTAGTCAGGGTACGTCATATGAGTTGCTTTATTGTGAGAACTAAAAATCAACCCATAGATCTGATTTTTTGTCACTAGTTAAGGGAAACATGAAACAGAAAGCTCGTAAAACTTTTTGAATCTACTAGCATGAGATGTGTTACCGTACTGTGTCGTAGTCTGCTATTAGAACTCTAAACCTAATATTCTCATGTTTTTTTCATGTGACTCGTTATAATTACAACAAGTTGTCGCACGGATTAATCGAAACCTTGGTAGTGCCTCACAAAAAATCCCAGTTCACTGCTTTTCTGGACGTTCGTCTGAATTTTCCAGTAGTTGTAAAGTTGAGTGTCCAGGTACTTGCAAAATGGGGTTTTAGACTAAACTAGTTAATTTATTCAGAACTGGTGACTAGTTGGATATCAGTTGGAAACTTAGTTTACACATTCCTTAGTTTCTTAGGCTTCTTAAAATGCACTAGTGCTTTTTCATGTGTATTGCACTCAGTTTTTTTCCCACTGGGGGAGTTGCATCCGGATTTTTTGACATACCGAATTGTCCACTGACTGATTTTTCAAGCCCAATCTATTTGATTAAAGTAAGAAAGATCAGATTTGCAGAATAAAGCGAAGTCATTTTGCTTCACGACCATTCATCAGCTGTTTTTGGCTTAAAATAAGTCAGTGTGCGTCTAAAAGAATAAAGATTTTACTAGTGGAGAAAAACACATTTGTTAGAAACTGGACACCAAAGGAATAACTTTCAAGCCTTCAGGATCATCCTTAAAGAAAAACTTTTAAGTCCAGCACACTTGGGGATTTGCATCAACCTGAACTTGTTAGTTGCGGATATAGAATTCCCCTTTGACATTTGCCAACTATTGTCACCTGGGTCTTCAAATGGCATAATATCTGACTACCTATCAAAAGAGGATTGTAAAGCTCCATACTCCGTCCTGTTCTGTTGCACGGCTATGAGACGTGGCCATTAAAAGTAGAAAGTATGAAGCGGTTGTATGGTATTATTCATAAATGTAGCATTTCTCGTGTTCGGTGGAATCACCGTGTGAGCAGTGTTTAGGTCAGGCAAAGAGTACTAGGCAAGACAGCCAAGTCGACTGAGGTGATTATAGATATGTACTGCGCATACCAAACCACCGCCTTCCTTGACGTGCCATGGTTGGGGAAGCTGGGTTAACATGTAAAATGGTTCAGGGTGGCCAAACTAAAACATGACACTAGTGGAATAAGTATCTAACTGTTGGTCTAAGCCGAGTGGGAATATGTGGACTACCCAGTTAGTGTCCCTGAGATGAAAGGAAAAAGTGGTCGAGGGCTTGATGGCATTGCCGAAAATCGGTCACAGTGGTGCAGATGTATCCAATGCTTGACATCTAAAGTTTGAATATTCACACTAGGCTTTATCTTCATACTGTTTATGATCTCACACAACTTTGTCTATGATATCACCTTTTCTATCCTGTTCTCTGTATACTTCTGTGAAGTGTGGCAACTTGAGCCTATGCACTTGTGTGCGAGGTTCCACGTTGACTTTGTCAGTTTTGTCAATGTCAGCCTTGTAATGGCACATTTTTAACTCGACTACTGTACTCAGGAAATAAGTAATCTTCCTAATCCGTGGTAATTCAGTATTATTTTGGTTGCACCGTGTCTTCCTGTATATCTACTAAGTTTTGGTCATAATTAGCTCTTAACGTTTTCCAATTGTTTATGTGCTTATGTAATTCTGAACTAGTTAGGCTACTTCAAGATTTCGTTTGTTTGACTTCTTTTTTCCTTACAAGTATAAAATTACCTATCTAGTCAGATTTAAATTCTCATGGACAAAGATTAATTTTCCTAATCCCACATCTTTCAAACCTACTATCTTTCTATATTAATCTTGGTGACTAACAGAGGAATCTAGGACTCGCGTTTCGGCCTATCTTGGACTCTTCAGCCGGGTGCACCTGGATTCCTTCGCTAGTCACCAAGATTAATATAACATCATGAATATCCGATGGCATTGAGGCATCCGCATAGGAGGCCATCTACCGACAAATGTCGAGCAATTCGGCCCTCTACAGCTCCCTTGCTGTCATTATCGAAACTAGAAACTTGTCTCTCTCTTTCAACAAACTTGAAGTAGATTATTTTTTGGAAATCCCAATATCCCTGTGATTTTAGGTTGCATGCAGTTGATAAATGGCTGTGGAATAAAATGACATTATCTTTCCTTGCAAATCTCTTCATTCTCTTTTGTCCGAATGCGTCAAGCGAACGAAATGTTTGAATAAATTTATTTGTGTTTCCCACAATAATTGATTATGATAAACCATTAGAAAGTGAAAAGTACTATTAACCTAAGAGGAAAACTTGGGCACTGTGGTAGAGTATAATTCCATATTAGATTGTTTATTTGATATAGTAGACACTGACAGTATAACTTACTGAATGACGTTTCAAGCATAATTTATTACTGATATTCATATCAGAGTGATTACACGACTTTCAAAATTCCTTTACATAGTCCAACAGTTCATTCATTTATTTTAATGGTAGTGAGACTTTCCATATCTTCAGTATGTGATGAGTCACTCCTGTGGATTCGATTAACAAAGATTTTGTGATCAATCTTTTTCTCCAGCTAGCTATCTTGGATTTTAGAATTCCCACCCTTTAGTTTGACTATGCATCAGTTCATGCAGAGCGATATCCGAGATTTTCTAAATTACTTATCTTAGTACGGTTCACCATTATGTTTCGCTAAATTTGTATTCTCTTCTGATTGACCCAGATTGGCTGCTTCGACCTATATACTTGACCTCACAATCACTACATGAAATCTGGTAGATTGGGTTATTTTTCTTAATTAACTTCATTGGATCTTTTAGCCTGCAAAGTTTCTCTCTGAGTGGGTTTGTGGGTTTAAATGCCACCCTAATTCCAGCACCCTTAAGGATTCTGGATAAGGCAACACTACAGAGGATTTGAATTCCCTCTTAAGTATATTGCAATCACCACTAACATTACCACTCTTTCTCTTATCAGTTCTTATAAACGTTTTAATAAATTCCGAAATGTAGTCATTAAAGAGTAGTCCTTTTGATGTTTCATTTCCTTATTTAGATCTGACTTACTAGTCAAACTCGTACCCCGATTACTTAGATATTTTATCAGGCCTACCTTGACAGATACAGGGTGAGATAATGTAAAATCGAAGTGTCTATTCGAATGCGTTGGTTTCCTATAAACACTGGGATCTAAGCTTCTACCTTCTCTCCTTTCTGTTTCGCAATCCAACATGGGTAATTCTCTTTCTGGATTTTCTAATTTATCAGTAAATTAAATTACATCTACTATCGAGTTAATGCATGCAAAAAAAACTCGACGTGTTCTGATCTCAACGCAGTGAATGTGTCATCTGCATGTCGCTATCATACTTTTGGGGTGGGTTGGGATGCTCCTAATGCTATTCGTTCTGCTACGATTGGGAATATTGGAAATCTCATCACTACTCCTTCTGTCTGTTTATACATTTTGTCTTGAAATTTGAAAACTGTGAAGGTTAAACATAATCTTATCCCTAGCACAATTTCTTCAATAAAAACTTTAGTTATATTATTGAGTTCATGATCAGTTGCTAGTTCATTTCTGATTGCCTCAAGTGCCATATTAATTGATATATTTGTATGGAGACACATCACATCAAAAATGAGCATTTTTTTCTTCTAATTGTGTATTTTTTAGTCTGTGTTTCGGTTCAAATGAATTGGTGAGCCTAGATTTTGAGCGATTTCTAATGAGGTATGGTATTATGGCTAAATATTTAGATCGAAAACAAGTTACTTAGTGAAGAGGACTCTTTTCAACGGATTTATTTTCAAGCTGTAGATTTGTATATATATGTAATATTTAAAGACTAATCCATGAGGAAGATATAACTTAAATAATGGGAGATCGAAGTAATAATAATACTGGTGGCTATAATAGTAGTGTTGCTAGTTGATGACGTAAAGGTTGAATGGTAACAAAAAGGGGTTACGTGAGATTTTTAAATTGTTTATAGAGATTGCTGTCAACATGTATACAAGAGCATACTCCTGTCTTTTTTATAAGGGGGAAAGAAATGCATTAGAAGTTCTATCCTTCAACATGTAATCGATTCCAACCATTCATCCGACCCAAATAATGATTTTAAAGTTGTCTCTGCAATTCGTTCTGACATCCCACGTTTCTTCCGTCTTCAACTTCTGAAAATAGCAGAGGCCTTGGCTATTTATAAACTGAGGCCCGACCTTTGTGTCCGAAGGAAGTATGAACACTATATATATACTAAGGAATGTACAGCTTAAAAAGAGTCTTCTTTGCTGAATGTCTTGCTTTTGATGTCAATGAAGATTATGAATATAATAATGAATTAGGTAGCTCATATATTAGTGTCTCTAGAGTCAACTATTGACCTAATAGGATAACCTGTTTTATGTATCTTAGTGGTACCGTACATTCTCATAAGATTTTTAGTTCTAGGCATCAAATCAAACCACTGAGACTCACCCAGAGACGGCTTCATTTGGCGTTTTAGATCAATTGTGAACTTTTTAATCTTATTCAACTTCATCATATGGTCTCGTTTCGATACGCTTATTGACCTTTTTCCAATAATTCGCCTTCTCCATAATCACTGTCGAGTTGCCTTTGTCAGATTTGGCAGTTACTGTTGTCATTTCTTGAACTTTCAGCGCCTATATTTCTGGTCTCGTTAATTTCTTCTTTTTGTGTTTCGGTGTCAGTGCCCTTTGTGCACGTGCCTGACCAGCAGTTGTCTTATCTGTTGAGCTTAGTTCTCTGGTTTAGAGATTAATCACCCACTTTGTTTGGTCGATTGTTGGTGGTGTCTTATTTGTACCTTCTTTTTTGTGAGTAACTTATCTTTCATTAATTTGTTGGACTTTATAATTTAAGTCTTTTTAGGTTTGTTGGAAACAGCTTCTGATCAAGATAATAAGCCATAAAGACTTCTAGTTAAAGTATCTCATACAGTCAAAGCAGCTGCTTCCAGCAAACCTGGAAAGACCTACCAAGGTTTGGGCAGCCAGATAGTATCAAAGTAGCTGTGGATCAGTGTATACTGAACGGATGTACACAAGGTGACAGAGTGCGTTGTATTGTCTGTCTCCTCCTCTACTTTAACCTCTTGATACTAATATTAAGCCTCTTAAAGCTTCCCCAACCTCTCACTCTGCAACCATTACCAATGATCAAAGCCATCGAAACCTCATATCCAGTCTCCTAAGACCCCGACATCGATTTCATGTAGGCGCTATCAATGCCCAAACTCTGTCGAATCAAACAGCAAGCACCGCTCGCCAAAACTCTGGAATCTCTAGCAGTAGATGTATGGTGTGTTTCTGAGACATGTATACAGGACCTCAGTGTAGTTATTAAATTGACCTCACTTGGCCATAGTAGTGAGTCTTCAGAGCTCATCCTACTAGTATCCGGAGACCTAGGGACTAGCTCTTATGAACTCAGTGTAGAGATAGCATTAAGTTATGGAGCAGAAGGTGCGCTTCTTGATTGGATTTCAGTAAACAGCCGTCTATATGTTGTTCGACTGAACGGATCTGTAAGGACTAGGAAGAATCGTTAGACTAGGCGGTGCCTATTCGTAATCTCCGCTCACACACTTACCGATTGCATTTCGGATGACACAAAGGATGGATTCTATGAAAAACTGTTAATTTTGCTGCAGGAAGCGAAACATTCAGATGTAGTCATAGTGGTAGTTGACTTCGACGCTCAAGTAGGGGACTGAGCTAAGCCAATAGGAAAGGCATTTTTGGCGTAGTTACGGAATCATATGCCAACGAACCAACAACAGTGGTCGTCTGCTGCAATTTTGCTGCGACAATTACTTGTTTCTAGCCAGCACTAATTTTAGGTATGAGGAGAGACACTGTCTCACATGGCGTCCGCCGACTTCAAACCAACGATGGACACAGACAGATCACATTGCTATAAGCCATCGTTGAAGGAGATCGGTGGAGGATTACCACTCTTTCTGGAGTACCAGTTTTGACTCCGATCATGCGCTAGTACTGGCAGGGAAAAGACGATAGTGAATGAAACCGTCACCGAAAAGGATGGAACGCTGATAGCCTCTCAGGAAAGGCGTCTAGAATAATGAAGCACAGCTCAGTTAGCGCTCTGCAACACCTCATTTGCTTAACACTCATCCTGAACTCGAATGGGATGTATATGTTGGTTCTCCAACTCTCCTCCAAGTTGAGTAAGCTGTATCAAACGTGAATCCATACCAGGCAGCAGGACCCGACAGTTTGCCACTTACAGTTTTCAATGATCGAGGTAGGAAATTGATGATTGGAGCGACAGAGGTACTTAGTAGTGTTTGGGAATCAGAGGTAGTGCAGTCAGACTAGTCTACTCCTCTGATCAACTCAGTGTATAAGTAGGGAGAGAAATCGTTTTGTGACAACCATGGGGTAATCTGTCTGACTAATATTGTGTCCAAGATCCTAGGATCCATAGTTATCTGAGGCCTAAATAGAGCTGGAGAACAGAGAACTCGGGAAATCCAGGAAGGTTTCAGATCTGGGAGAAGGTGGATCGATCATATTTTTACCCTATGACAGGTTCTGGAACACATTGATACCTATCGGCCGTTGGCCGATAGTTGCAATATTTCTTGGCCTGAAGGTCGACCATGAGGTGTGTTGTGACAGTGTGTGAATGTGAAGAGAGTACGGAGTAAGTATATAACGCAAATCAAATCTCTCTAGTCGAATTCATGCAGCCTTGTGAGTCAAGGGGTGATGGAGAGTTTTCATGTGAATTGACGACGACTGATAGTGTTTAGCAGGGATGTCCACTGTCACCGTTCCTATTTAACTTCATCATAGATGTACTAATGGAGTTGCTTTGGATATGTCTGACTTCACAGGGATTCATCTCCTTCCTGGTGGTCATCTGACTGACTTCGAATATACAGATGATATTGTTCGATTAGGTGAAGATGCTGAAAAAATGCAGTCTAGTGAATGCGTTGAAGAGGAATCTGAGTTTGTTGTGGTATGTGTCTCGTTGGTACTTGTCAAATGTGAGATGATGTTCAGCGACTGGTCTGTTGCAAGTATTTGGAGTTTGAAGATTGGGAGTGAAGTGGTGGAATGTGTCGACCACCCCGAACAGGTTGTTTGTCGTCTACCGCGACGAGCTATGCCAGGAAATATCTCTAAATCCTCACCAACCCCCCAAATTCAATTGATCTAGTGCTCATTAGTGACTAGCTTCGAGAGGTGATTTCTGAAGTTCCAATGAAAAGTCGTGACCTGTGGGGCGAACCTGGTGGTCGTGAAGACAAATACTCAACGATGACATTAGGTGATGCTCGCACTATATCGTGAACTGACAGAAGTTGGAAATATGGACCATTGGATTCCGACCCAGTGTCTGGCTCAATGGTAGCCTGCTAGCCACGGAACCTGAAGGTCCTGGGTTCGACTTCTGGCGGCGTGGGGCCGTGGTGCGCACTGGTGAGGAGTCACATAGTAGAACGAAATAGCTGTCCAGTGCTCCCAGGTTTCAGTATTCCTCCAACTGATGTCAGTCCATGATAAAAATCAGCCTTAAAAAACGTCTCTAAATCCCCACAAACCCCCAAAATTCAAGTTGGATTTAGTTGGATTTAGAGGAGGGTGTATGATGACCAGACCAATATGTGACACTTGTCGATGAGGTCTTTAACTGTTGGTCTGAGCCGAGCGGCAAGATATAGTCTGCTTGGTTGGTGTCCCAGAGACGAAAGGAATCAGTAGTGGTCTCTTTGTGACATAGTTAATAACTAGTAACTGACCTCAATGCGTCTTTTAAGGTTTGAGTAGCTGTGTCATGTTATCAACCGTTACAAAACCTGGTGCTCTTTACTTAGTGACAGAAATGCATGTGGTTGTTTAGTTACGTATGACATTCTCTTAAGTGATAGTACTCATTGAATTTCAAATTTTTTTCGCTGTAATAAGGCAAGTTACAACTTTCGCTGGGCACTTCATTTCTCACTAGTGTTAAGATTTTGAAAACTTCTGGAATTTTGTTTAATATTCAGTTTAACAGTAAAAAGTTGAGTCGGCAATATAAAAAAAACTTAAGGGAGACTGCAACTTTCTACTTGAGAATTAATGAAGGTTATGCTTTCAAATGTTAAGGAAAAGACTCATCCTTTTCTCAGAACACAACATGATGCTCAACTAATTTTTGGTGGGACTCAGAAAAGTTCATAGCGAATAGAAATTTACGCTTTTTCAAAATATAAATCCTGATAGTTGTATTTCTCTCTCTCTCCACAATTTTTGTACTATTTCTGGTTTGTTTATCATAGTTAGTGACAGTAGCTCTTTTCCCCTGTGTTTCCGTTTGGCTTTTTTTAATGGTGTGTGGTGCGATGCATTTGACTGATTCGCTGTTATGTATGGTTCATTTATGATCCTAACTTCCTCTTCCAATATGACTGAATTCTTTAATGCGAATGACTAATAGCACGAAATAAGTTTAATTGATGTCCTAGAAGTTGGTAATAATTTGAAAGAAATTGAGTGTTGATAGAATTGTGAGGGTGATCGTCACTTCCTGGCTTCACAGACAGTGAAAGTTAACTGCTTTTTGAGATTCCTGAACACAATTGTATGAGGAGTAATGATGCATGACCGTAGGACCCAAGGAAATCTGCTTAAGGTTGGTTACACATAGTATTTTGAAAGTTTGAGAGTTAACTAGCCAGAAAATCCATGCCACCGGTGCCGGAAAACTAAAGGGTAGGGATAAGTGTGCCAATTTCGGGGTTGACCTCATCTCATTCTCTTTCCATAGGGTAAGATAGCATCAGTATGTACTATTTATATAATGCGTGGTTTCTTGGACTGTTACACAGTAAAACCAAGTCCTATATTACTGCTGACTCACTGATGTGTTTCTTTAGTCCTTATGTTGCGTCTTAGAGCGTTACTACTTACGTAGGTATTTATCTAAACAGATGTATGTTCTCAGTACTTTTTGTTCCACCCGTGTTGTAGCAGAACCTTGTCTGTAAGCGATTAATTTATGAGGATAGTTTGTGGTGACATTATTCAGTAACAGAAAATTCTCGATTTCAGTGTAATTGTAATCATCTTCAGCTGAAAAATAATTTATACGAAAAGATACCTTAAGTAACTTCTAATCAGGATAAACTTTAAGATATTTACAAGTCTTTGTGGGATGGTTGGAAATTCAGGTTCCAACTGTCTGTTTTTAAAAAATCTGGTGGTTATGTTATTATGTTATTATTTTTTGGACTTTTATATGCTTTTTAGAAACGAAATGTTCCATGAAGAAGATAATTGCATCAATTGCTGTAATTGAGTATGGTCCGGTAGGAAGTCTACTCAGTTTATTTATATTTTCTTCAGGACCAGAAAAGATACCTTGTGCTGAAAGACTTAGTTCGAGATAAAGAAAATCTAGTTTATAATGTAGGCATGTTTATTTCATTTAATTACGTATCAGACGGTGTGTCAAGCAACTCAAACATCAGCGCCACAGCTACAGGAGACGCATACTACACCTAAATTAGTAAAGCTTCCTATTCGTGAAGTTAATGTTATTTTCAGGTTCTTTCTTCTCAAAGTAGCCAATCGACGAGATCTGTAAGTAGACTAGATAATCTTTAAGTGCATTTTCTATTCGTTTTAACGTTCATTTCATGTAAATATTTTCAATATAATGGGTTATTTATTGACGATATTAAACTGATGACACCTGAGTATGTATTGATGCATGTGGCTTTGAGGTTTAACCACTCGGGTCTCCATTATCTTTTAGAGCGTAAAGAAAAGAAGCTTATATAAGATGAGTTTCAAACAGATGATGTGCAGTCATGATAACCTACTTCTGTTATAAAGCTGTTGTTTGGGATCAGTTCGCATAGTATAATTCCGTTCATGAATGATGACTAACATTAGTAGGAAAGTAAGCTGCCTCTTCAGCCCTTTATTGTATTGTACTACGTCATTTCCCTCTACATACCGGGAGAAACCCATGCCACATTTTAATTTTCCTACGACTAAGTGTGTAAATTTTTATTGACAATTATTCTAAACAACGTACTGAGACCATTTTTTAAAAATATTCTAGAAAGTTAAATCAGTCATTAAATTTTTGTCGACTAAAACTGTATTTGTTGAATATAACTATGACGTGTTATCATTCGCATCAGTTACAAGGTTACAACTTACTCAATTCTATCAAATAACTTGCCGTTCTATTGATGTACGTCTATATGTATACAAGTTTGTATAATCTTGCTGCCATCCACCTATTGGCAAAGACCGGTATTGCTGTCTTGTCTACTGAAAACCAGCCACTAGTCGCTAACAGTTTAGCTAGTTCAGAGGCATAAAGACAACTCTAGGTTTTTTAGCCAAAGACGCGCAACATATGTATTTTGGATGTTTATTTCTGTAGTCATACTAAAGGTACTGATTACAATCCACATCTTTACGAAGCTTATGGGTTTAGCACCTTTTAAGTCTTTCTTACGAGTAAAGCCGCTATCCGGCGAGATGTGCGACTGTCTATCAGGGGAGGACTGTAGTGCGCTGCAGTCCGTCCTGTCCTGCTATACGTCTATGAGGCATGACAGTTGGAAGTAAAAGATATGAAGTGATTACAGGGTTTTTATCACAGAAATCTTCGTAGCATTGCTCGTGTTTGGCGGAGTCACCGTGTGACCAATGTCGACGTCAGGCGAAGGGTACTAGGTAAGACAGCCAACTCGATTGATAAGTTTGTTGACCTTAGTCAACTAAGATGGCTTGGACATATGTTGCGCATACCAAAATACCGTCTACCTCGATGTTTCATGTTAGGGGAAGTTGGACTAGGTTGGAAGAGGGTGCCGGGTGGCCACACCAAGACCTGGGACCGGTTGAATAAGTCTCTTACTGTTGATCTGAGTCGTGTGGTGAGATGCAGAATGTGTGGTTGGTGTCCCCGAGACGAAGGGAACCGGTGGTTGAGGATTCTTGATGACATGGCTGATAACTGGTCACAATGGCGCAAAATGTTTTCACTGCTTAACGTCTTCTAAAGCTTGAATATTCGCACTAACCGTTATCTTCAGATTTTTAATTGTCACAAAAGTTTGTCTTCTTTGATATCACTCGTTTTCTATCCCTCTGTATTTTGTGTGCTTCTATGATATGTGGCAACTTAAACTGGTGCATTTGTGTGTGAGGTTCTACGTTAACTCTGTCTCTATCTATCTATCTATCTTTCCTTAACTGTTGTTTATCATTCTTTTTAGTTGGGCTTGTCTGTATGTAAATCCCTCCTAACATAAGCCCTGTAACCATGATAGTTTGATGCGATATCCCACTGCTGCATGGTAGCAAACATAATTCGAGTGTTGTGTATGAAAACAGTTTTAGGTTATGTTTGGAAATTATCAGATATATGTATAAACGTTGATTAATTGCAAATTAGCAGAAAAATATTGTTTTAACTTATTTTTTTCAAGACGGCTTTGTCAAGACCTTCAATTACTATGGGTTCGCTTTTATCCCTTCCATCTTTAAGACAACTGAAATGCAATGGCAGTAATCATGGATGCTGCTCATCAACAGTACTGATTTGTGTGCTAAAAACATGAGGCATATAGCATATAATCGCCTGTGAAGTAGGTGAAATGGACATGAATCCCTCTCCTAGTTGTCAGTAATGAGATGCTTATGTTCATGAGCTGTAGTTTCGCTGATTGCAAAAACCACACTGCTTGCTAAAGAAGCTTCTCATGATTTAGTCTCATCATACTCTAACTTATGGTCTGGTAAACTGGTCTCAGAATGATAATTAGTGATAATTAAAATTGGAAGAAAACTTGGGTTGAGGCGAAATGATGAACAGACCACTATATGTCATATATTCAGGTTAAGCCCTTGATAAGTAACATGGACTTTATGTTTGGCTACAGTTGAATCTCGTAACTTAGTAGGTGCGGCTACTGTCTAGTAGTCTGGAGGCCATTAATCCAAGTCGTGCTGCAACCTATCTCTCCTTTCGATTTCATCATCCAGTTGTATTAAGTTTCTAGCTTAGTGGTTTAACTCGGCCAAGCTACATTTATACGCAACCAATTTCTATGCAAATACGTCTTTAATATTCAGAATAGCTGATAATGAATAGGTAGATTTTTAACCAACTTTGACCAGTCTGTAGTTCTATAGCTTAGATATGAGATATCAATATGTTATTTACTTTGCATATTTTGTTCTAATCTAGCCAGTGGTGCATAAACCTCATCCTCCAGTATCTACAGTTCCGTCTGCCCTTCCAACTTTTAATACAACCACTGCGTCCTCTCCGAATCATAAATATTCAACATATACCAGCAATGAAACTCGTCTTTGGTGGATAGCAGCTATGAACTGTCGCCTGGCAGATATGAGTCGTTTTATTAGGATTGAATCCAAAATTGGTCAATTGGGCTGTAAGTTTCCTAATTTTTACATCTTTTAATCGTATAAAGAATATAAAGATATTGCAAAAATCGAACTTTGTCCAAAATATTCTATCCTGATAGACAGATAGGCAATATCAACATAAAAATTGGCATTAGTACACAGCGGTCCAAGTCGCCACACTTGATATCAACACAAAGCAAGACTACACTAAGATGAGAGATAAAGAAGTATTGAAGAAAGTAGTCAAAGTGGTAGAAAGTAGTAAAAAGAGAGGTAGGAGGCATGAGAGAATATCGAAATTGATTTTGACGATGAAGATGAAGACACTGTGTGGATCTATCTACGCCACTAAGGTCGACTCCAAGTCAAATCACTTAGCGTCTCCAGAAACCAATTTTGGGTGTCATACACATCCCAACTGGGAAGTTTACATTTCCATACTCGGCTCAAGTCAACAGCGAAAGACGTCATACAGTGATGCCATGTTTTATTCTGATCGCCCAGACCTATTTCCAACCTGAACATACTTCTGCTAACATTGCGCGACGAGGCAGACGGTAACCAAACCTACGTAACACATGTCCCAATTATCTGACTTGATGAAGGTTCACAATCACATTAACTAAACTTCCGCTTCTGTCTAAACTCTGCATTTGGCTTCTACGTTACCCACGTGGTGATACCACGACACGACTTGTGCTACAAAGGAAACGATGGTCAAACACCACAAGCGTTTTCATGTCATCTACCTTTAATGGTTATATTTCTCAGCCGTAAAGTAGAACAGGACAAAGTGGGTTGCAGTACCCTCGATCCTTAATAGACGATCAGATATCATGGCAACACCACAGATGGTGTAAGCGAGCGAAAGCCAAGCGAGACTTTTGTATTCGTGCTAACATTTCTTAAGGCACTAGATCACCAGGGCTGATATGACTTAGATAAGTCCGCCATTTCACTACCTGCTCTTAGACAAGGCATCACAGAAGAACAGTTCTAAAGTATTTGGATGGCTCATGATCTGCTACACGAACGTTCACAAGGTTGCTGAGTGCGTTTCTATTCGATTCGACCTTGATTGCTGAATAGAAACGTGTTTATAAACGTCATTGTTTTACAATAAACATCTAATCATTTTCTAGTCATCGCTTATTAACACGTTGTATTACGTCTCGCCTTGCAGCAGACCCCTATTATAATCACTGCTACAGCATTAACAGTATTCAAGCGACGAATCTAAAGATTCTGTTGAACTCCTCTGAGTAAATATAGAGGCTGGCACGGATGTGCTTCAGTTCAAGTCTCCACACCTGACAGCAGCACATAAACAACAAGTGGATGTAAAGCGAATCACATTAAAGCTAATAATAATGTATGCAACGAGAAAGATGAAATCAACAAAGGTTTTGGAAGTATCCAAGACTTCGAAAGGATTTTAAAGGGAATACGTAAGCGTCATTGTGATTGTCAGCCATGTCACCGAGACTTTCGAACCATTAGTCATTATCGTTACCATGATCCCTGCTAGGCAGTGCATAGCTGCCTAAATAGCTCAAACCAAAACACCACCTTGACTGTTGTATGTTTTCTGTATCCATTCAGTCACAAACATATATGTGCCGTCACTAATGTTTGGTGGAATGGGAGTGGAAGCATGGATTCGCAAAATAGCAATAATCCCCCACCGATCCTCTCCAACTCTGACTGTTAGCTATGTAATCTATCTGCATCCAACATTGGTTTGATGTGAGAAGACGCCAGGTGAAATAGTATCTGCCACTATGCGGGGAGTTATTGCTGGATAGAGACGAACGTTGAAGTCACCCTCTACTATGATTAAGTTTGAACGTTTCGCTTTAACGTAGCAAAATTTACGGCTCTTTGTCGAACTCATCCTTTGTATTTTCTGAATTAAAGTCGATGCAGATTTCACACACGCATATATTGATCAGTTAAGTACATCAGCTCATCGTTAAGTGATGAATAGTCATTCAGCAAAATATTGATACAAGATATTTTGTCCATTCTGGTTGGTAGCGATGTTTATTATTCTCTTCTGTTAGTATGTTTGGTTTTTCCAAAGAGTATTATGTATCCGTTTTTATATTTGTATTTCCACCAGTTAATTGTCTTTTCTCCTTTCTCGGTTCGCTTCTTTATTCCATGTCACCAATACACTAGGATCCTGTAAGCGGGGTAAGTCAACCGTTTTTTTCAGAAAATATCCATCTGGATTGGTAGTCTGTATTTTATTTGCTCATTGGTGAATGTGCTTTGGGTGTTTTTTTCCATTGTGTCAGTCTTCACGTCCGTACAAGTATTTGTGATGCGATATTGTTGCTCAACCTACGCACCCCTTGTTCCACTGACATTTTCTCCGTTACCTGTGTGGATAAGTTATCTATATTTTATCGTATATTACCCCTGTATACTTATGACATTTTTTCGATTGGTTACTATTATCGTTGTGATCGATTTTGTGCATGGATCAGTTGGGATCATTTGGGTAATTTGTTCGCTAGTGAAGTGATTGCTTTCTTCTCTTTATTTAGCCGTCTCCCAATTGTTTTGATGGTTTTCAATTTCTGTTGCTTTTTCCCTTGGATGTATCTGGAAACTCGGTAATTTCCTCTTAGGGAATCGCCAACGTTTCTCACTGTTTTGGTTATTTTTCATTTATAGTACCACTTAGTTATTAAACGTTGTTACTTTGGATATTGGAATTTTGAGGTCTCTCCTACATCACTTCTCTTGATCAGGTTATTACCGCCAGTAATTAAATGCTCATACTGTCGCCAAGATGTATATAAGCGGGTATCTTTTTAAAAATGCGATGGAAATTTACGAACTTTTTTTGACTTATAGTGCCGTTTAGTTGAAAAGTTACACTGATGTGTGATGGCGTAGATGTATGCACTCCTTGAAATCTCAAGCCTGACTGTTTGCGTTAACGTGTACCCTCAAATTATTTATTCTCTCATATAACTTTGCATACTGTGATATCACTCTTTTTCTATCTACTTGTTCTCTATATTCTACTGTGAAGTGTTACAACTTGATCCGATGCACTTGTGTGCGACGTTCTACGTTGATTTCGTCTATCAGCCTGTGATGAAAAGTGTCTGCGAGCATGTACTAGCGCAGATTACCCATAATTCACTTATAAACGGGAACAACGATAATTATTGACCATGCTTAGGCGATTGCCGTAGCCTCACCAGTTTTGTTGATAGTCGTAAAAAATTTGAACTGATTCAAGCTGAATTTGTCGTTTCTAGAAGGTCAACATTGAACGTAATCCAGGCTCGTGAAGCCTATCAGTCATACACAAGATGGTTCATACACGCTGAAGTTCTTCTTTTACTAGTATTGTATGTGTATCTAACCTAGAACCATGCAAAACAGCGGGACATAACAGATTGCCACTTACAGTTTTCAATGATCGAGGTAGGAAATTGATGATTGGAGCGACAGAGGTACTTAGTAGTGTTTGGGAATCAGAGGTAGTGCAGTCAGACTAGTCTACTCCTCTGATCAACTCAGTGTATAAGTAGGGAGAGAAATCGTTTTGTGACAACCATGGGGTAATCTGTCTGACTAATATTGTGTCCAAGATCCTAGGATCCATAGTTATCTGAGGCCTAAATAGAGCTGGAGAACAGAGAACTCGGGAAATCCAGGAAGGTTTCAGATCTGGGAGAAGGTGGATCGATCATATTTTTACCCTATGACAGGTTCTGGAACACATTGATACCTATCGGCCGTTGGCCGATAGTTGCAATATTTCTTGGCCTGAAGGTCGACCATGAGGTGTGTTGTGACAGTGTGTGAATGTGAAGAGAGTACGGAGTAAGTATATAACGCAAATCAAATCTCTCTAGTCGAATTCATGCAGCCTTGTGAGTCAAGGGTGATGGAGAGTTTTCATGTGAATTGACGACGACTGATAGTGTTTAGCAGGGATGTCCACTGTCACCGTTCCTATTTAACTTCATCATAGATGTACTAATGGAGTTGCTTTGGATATGTCTGACTTCACAGGGATTCATCTCCTTCCTGGTGGTCATCTGACTGACTTCGAATATACAGATGATATTGTTCGATTAGGTGAAGATGCTGAAAAAATGCAGTCTAGTGAATGCGTTGAAGAGGAATCTGAGTTTGTTGTGGTATGTGTCTCGTTGGTACTTGTCAAATGTGAGATGATGTTCAGCGACTGGTCTGTTGCAAGTATTTGGAGTTTGAAGATTGGGAGTGAAGTGTGGAGTGTGTTGACCACTTCAGTTACTTGGAGAGTTTTATCAGCCCGAACTGGGTAGTTGCTGACGAAATCTCAGCTTGGCTGAAGAAGGCCCGTTTGGCATTTGCCAACTTGTGCCATCTGTGGCCCAGAGTGGGGAGATAATTGACTATCTATCAAAGGGCGGGAATACTGTGTAGCAGTTCGTTTTGTCCTGTTGTACAGCTGTGATACGTGACCGTTAGGATATGTGAAGCGATTACAGTGTTTCAACCACAGATTGCGAACCATAGTCGATTAAGATGGCTTAGACATATGCTACGCATGCCAAACCACCGTCTACGTCGATGTTTCATGTTAGGGAAGTTGGATCAGGTTGGAAGATAGTTCAGGGTGGTAAAACCAAAACGTAACATCAGTCGAATAAGTATCTTATGTTGGCCTGAGTCGTGTGGTGAGGTGTTGGCTGCATGGTTTTAGTCCGCAAGGCAAGCGGAATCAGTGGCTGAGGACTCCTGGTGACATGGTTTATAATTCGTCACAATGGCGCAAATGTTTTCACTGCTTAACGTCTTATAAAGCTTGAATATTCGCACTAGACTTTATCCTCAGATTGTTAATTCTCTCACACAGCTTTATCTACTTTGGTCGCACTCCTTTTCTATACACCTGTTCTTTGTGTGTTACTGTGGTGTGGTAACTTGAGCCTATGCAGTTATGTGCGAGGCTCTACGTTTGTTTTGTTTGTCTGACTGTTTGTGATAGATAGTCCAACTGGTAATTCATAGAAGTCCATAAACTTTCCCTTTTGTTTTTCATCAATTTCTGCACATGAAACATGGAATTCGGTCAATGTTATGTTTCTCGATGAACTCCCGAACATGTAGTGGGTGAGTTCTCATTTATGCTTTCCGCTTTCGTATAATAATTCTCTGACTTTATTGAAAGTTGGTGGTGATTTTTTATTTTGTTGTTTGTATTGAGAACACTGAAAATTTGTTACTTTGGTAGCATCAGCCAGTAATCCATATGATTGAAAACCGCATATGGCGAGGATACTTTGTCAGGACTTTTAGGCGGATGGGCATTAAGATTTGATGTCACTGAGTGACTTAACAGGCTGAGACGCTTTGAATCACCACATCAGCATACGTAAGAACACAGAAAAAGTAAAAGGGAAGGGGAATAATATAATCAAAAGCCGTCACATACTACTAAATGCAGATGAAAGAGATTAAAACAAGTAACAAAATGGGATGTAAATGTTAGAATTCAAATGTTGTATGGTTTTCTCTGCAGCACTGATATCGATACTGAGCTATATCGTGTCAAGCTACCAACCACTGATATCCTTTGTCACATGGACTACAACCAAACGGTTTCAATTTCTCCATTTAGCACAGACCAACATCCCGATTTTTCCATGGCAGCCACTACAACTACAGCCTTGCGGTCTTCTCACGTCCTCTACTTTCAACAAACTTGTCTCGGCTGTAAATAAGGGCAAAGCGATAATACATACTGTGAGTTGCGCCAGACCAGTCCGAAAGCGTCATTCCATATCTAATTGGTTCAAAACGTATGCCAAGCATATTCACATCTATGCTCACAATGTACAGATGATAAATATGAATGCGGACAATAAGCACCCTTGGCGGACACCTCTCATCGTCGTCGCTTCACACAACAACTCTCCTCCATAAGCCATTCCTAACACGGTTGTGTCAGTTTCAGTAGACAACCTTGATTACCACCCAGTATATGCTTGTTCAGTGCTGCCTTCACACTCAGACACTAACCACAACACTTTTCGATTGATAGAAGCAAGTGTCACCTTCATGTCAACAACTATAACGAGTATTGGATGACGGCAAGCATGTCTGGATCCCGAACCTGTCGACCAGTAAAAACGTGGTCAACACATGCTTGTCCAGGGCTGGAACCTAACAGGCTGTCTCCACCTTCTTCTTCTTCTTCTTCTCGACCACCACTTACTCATACGGATAACTATGAACTCTATGATTTTAAAGATAATGTCATTCAAACTGATCCCCCAGTGATTATTGGCACACCAAGACTTCTCTACTTTCTCATAAACTACAATGATTAGCGATTTAAACCAGTCTGAAACAACCACCTCTTGATTGCCATACACTACCTACCTAGTACCTCAGCTACTCACTCTACTCACTAATTTCAATTTTCTGCCCACATCCCTATAAACCTCTGGTGTGATGCTGTAAGCTTCTGCTGCTTTGCATCGTTTCAGCTTCGAAACAGTCTTCTCAACTTACTTTAGAATCGGAGCGCCAATTTACGTCTGCACTGCATAACGGAGAACTGACCTGTTGCTATAGACTACTTGGATCCAGCCTTCTCCTATGTGTTCCACTCCACGATGTAACTACCTTTCCTGACATGCTATATCTGCGACGCGTCCCTTCTCTGTGATCGTCTCACCAACCATAGACTTCTTCTCACCAGTTTCCTCTTTAAGCTAAAATAATTATCGAGTATCATCTTGTACCGGTATCTCCTTTCCCTCCTCTTCCATTGCTTATGTCATTGCAGTCACTTTCACTTTCGATTTGGTCACCAGTCGCGGCTAGCTGCCACTGGGAAGACTTCTCTTCAAATTACGTTTGCGTTACTTTCACTTCTCATTGCGATGAGATGGTAGATCGTGGTGGTAGAAATCCACTGGCTCCCGCCAATCATCTCTGCTTGTCGGTTAACGACTGTTTTTAATCGTTCTTTCTACACCACACTGAATATTACACCGGGCTTCATCACAAATAACATGGCCGCCATCTTCACTAGCTGTCACCTCTCCAAATACGGCGGCAGACGAAGAAGATGTGGATAGAGAAAGTGATACTGAGGCAGACAAAACTCTATGACAGTTGACAGAATAAACATATGTAGGTTGGTGAAAATATTGAAAAGTTCCAAGGTG